TTGTTACTAAAAAATATACATGCAATACAAATGTATTGCACAATAGCTGTGCTTTATTTTAACTGAGCTATGCCTGTGGCAAGCTATTAACAGGCATTACACTTTGCCTTTTCTTTTTTAGTGTAGTGGAGCCTCACTTCAGAGTGTTTACCGCGACCTATCTTTGGTGTTATGAAGTGACTGAGCTCGTGAAATGTCTACGGGAGGGCGGGGGAGCATCGCTGCGGGGCAACTGTGGACCTCTGTCGCCTGTCAGCGCAATTTATATGATGCCGTTTAAAAAAATGAAGGGCGGTGCCGGCCGTCAGCGTACCGAGCCGGCCGTCAACGGCCCGCTGACGACCGGCCGTTCTGTGATTCTCCAGGTCCGCCCTGTATTCCACCGGGTCACCGCAGCACCGCGGTGCAGACGGACCCGCTGGAATACAGGGTCTACCGCGTTTAGGAACCGTTAAGCAGAACCGAAATTGTGTATTTTGTATGGGTACCCGGTACCCGGCATTTTCTTATCGGTTCTCATCTGGAACCGAGTTTCGGTTCCCAACCCTAACCAGAACTAACTAAACAATGCAGAGATTATTTTTATATAATTGTATTCAATAACCGTAAGAAATTCAACAGTATGAAGTGATTTGTAAATAGGAATACAGATTTGACTTAATCTTTTCATAAATATATTTTTCTCCCAGTTTGACTTATTTTTACCCTCTCAAAGAACCGGAATTGAGAACCGAAAATAACCGGAATCGAAAAGCAGAACCAGAATCGTTCAAATCCAAACGATACCCAACCCTATGTGTGATGCAGTAAAATCTTACCGCTCACTTACGTTAGCGGTGTCGTAAAAACCGTGGGAAAATGTAAAATACGATGACGAAGAAGAAGATTCCAGTGGCCCCAATTTTTGTCCATTCTGGACAAGTGAAAAATGTATTCGGACAAGTAAATTGCCAAACTCACTTGTCCATGGACAAGTACTCTCTAAAAACTTTTTCTCACACTGTCAGTACTTCTACTTTTACTCAAGTACAAGATCTGAGTACTTCTACTTTTACTCAAGTACAAGACCTGAGTACTTCTACTTTTACTCAAGTACAAGATCTCAGTACTTCTACTTTTACTCAAGTACAAGATCTCAGTACTTCTACTTTTACTCAAGTACAAGATCTCAGTACTTCTACTTTTACTCAAGTACAAGATCTGAGTACTTCTACTTTTACTCAAGCACAAGATCTCAGTACTTCTACTTTTACTCAAGTACAAGACCTGAGTACTTCTACTTTTACTCAAGTACAAGATCTGAGTACTTCTACTTTTACTCAAGTACAAGACCTGAGTACTTCTACTTTTACTCAAGTACAAGATCTCAGTACTTCTACTTTTACTCAAGTACAAGATCTGAGTACTTCTACTTTTACTCAAGTACAAGACCTGAGTACTTCTACTTTTACTCAAGTACAAGATCCCAGTACTTCTACTTTTACTCAAGTACAAGATCTCAGTACTTCTACTTTTACTCAAGTACAAGATCTCAGTACTTCTACTTTTACTCAAGTACAAGATCTGAGTACTTCTACTTTTACTCAAGTACAAGACCTGAGTACTTCTACTTTTACTCAAGTACAAGATCTCAGTACTTCTACTTTTACTCAAGTACAAGATCTCAGTACTTCTACTTTTACTCAAGTACAAGATCTCAGTACTTTCTACTTTTACTCAAGTACAAGATCTGAGTACTTCTACTTTTACTCAAGTACAAGACCTGAGTACTTCTACTTTTACTCAAGTACAAGATCTCAGTACTTCTACTTTTACTCAAGTACAAGATCTGAGTACTTCTACTTTTACTCAAGTACAAGACCTGAGTACTTCTACTTTTACTCAAGTACAAGATCTCAGTACTTCTACTTTTACTCAAGTACAAGATCTCAGTACTTCTACTTTTACTCAAGTACAAGATCTCAGTACTTCTACTTTTACTCAAGTACAAGATCTGAGTACTTCTACTTTTACTCAAGCACAAGATCTCAGTACTTCTACTTTTACTCAAGTACAAGACCTGAGTACTTCTACTTTTACTCAAGTACAAGACCTGAGTACTTCTACTTTCACTGTAACCGAGTATTCCTACACTTTAATGCATCAATGATTATAATCATATATATCATTATTATAGTCTCTCAGTGGTTGGAGAGCCGAAGCTTCTTAATTTTGTTAAACCCTAAAGCAAACTAAGCCACAGGGTCATGCATAATCAGTTGTTCCTGTATTTCCCCTCTGAAGTGAAACCATGCCTTGTTCACAGGCTCCACGCTCATTCTGCAGGACTTTGGTTTGTAGTCAATGATCTTTGCATTCATTGATAACCCCGATCCTGGCACCACCCCATCAGCTGCTGCTCACACACACTCTTTACTGCCGCTCACACACACTCTTTACTGCCGCTCACACACAGGGCCAGTGTCCCTCAGCTGCAGAATACATCTGATGCCCCTTTCACACCAACGCGTTTTCAGCTCCGGCTCGGAGCTGGAGCTGAAAAGTACCGGTTTTTCCTGTTCACACCGCAGAGGCGCCGACTCTTAGCTCCGGAATCCGGCTCACTTCCAGCTCCAAAGTGTCGGTCTAGAGCAGGGCTATTCAATTGGCGGCCCGCGGGACAAATCCGGCCCGCGTGATATTTACTGGCCCTTAAAAAGTAATCTACTTTTTTTTTAAAGATTTATTTTGGGCCGGAGTGCTTTTATTCCAGAGAGGGGAAGACATTGCCTTAAAACTTCGGCGGGCTCGGGTTTCGAACCCACCGACTAGCTACTGACAACTCCTATCATTTATTGCATCTCTGCGTGAATGATAATTTCACCTAAATTAATTCAAATGAAATGATGTTGATGGTTAAGTTAGCTTCACATGTCGGCCTACTGAGTTCTGAACTTGCCCTTTAGATCTATAAAGGCCTTGGGGCGATGTTGTTTGATTGAATTAAACACAATATATGCACTCCACTATGCTGCTAGTATTTACTGGATCCGAAGCTCTTAATATGATTGCTTATATTTCAAGCCATCTTTTTCCCGGCCCCTTGCTTTGGATCATTTTCATCAACCGGCCCCATTCCAAACTAATTGAATAGCCCTGGTCTAGAGGCAAGAGCTTCGGAGCTAAGAGGCGGCGTCGCTTACGTCTCTCTTACGTCGAGGCGGGGGCAGATTCGTCGTTGATGCTGAAGACCACAAAGAAGTCTTGCATTTCGCATGTAATGTTTGTAAAGTTCCAAGTAAAGTCGTCCGATGCCTTCCATTTCGTTTCGTAAGAGGATAACCAAAGCGAACAGCGCTTCAATACAATCGGCCATTGTTGTTGTCGATGTGAGGGATATCCGCGCGGTTTGGATTTTATGAAGCAGGCACGTAAACGGTGACGTCGTGACGCAGCAGCGGCAGCTCTGGGCGGTGTGAACAGAGCGGGAGCAGAAAAGGGAAACCGGAGCTGAACCAGAAAAGCTCCCGCTCGGAGCTAGAAAGGGAAAAGCGCTGGTGTGAAAGCCGCAAGAGTGTGTGTGGAGATGATTTAGGGAAGATGCTCTGACCTCTGAGAATCAGACGCACTCTGGCTCTCCAATCTGCACCAAGGCCCAGTTTGCTCTCCTTCAGCCACAGTGGCACATGATGAGTGTCTGCTCACGGAGAGCGGTTCGACGCGTGTTATGTAACGTAAGATGTTCCTCCAGGCTGTTAAAGGTTTATCGTAACGAACGGTTTCATCACTGACACTCAGAGGGATGGTCCTTCTAAAGGAGGTCGTGCTTTTTTAACTCGCCCAGAATCAATTTGCCCTTTTTATGAATTGTTTTATTTATTAGCCGATACCAAAGAGGATTAGATTCAGTTTTGTTGCCATGGCGCGGAGACGGGATGAAACGGCACTTTAGCCAGTGTGGAAAAACAACGAAATGCAGAGTACGTGTTTAGGACTCAAATGTGACGTATGAATATTTATGAATACAGTATAAATAGTGTATACACTATATAGATTAGATATATTGACAGTAATAAAGTATAAAAACTCAACAGAGATGAGTAGGAAGATGACGCATGATAGCTTCATCTTCTCCAGAGGCCGAAGAGTTGTTCGATGCACTAACCTGGCGCTGCATCTTATTTACGTCTTGTTTTTATTTAGTTTGGATTTGAAAGCTTCAGAAAGATGGAGCTCTCTGTTCGGCTTTGACGCGTTGGTTATTGTTCGTTGAACCTGAGAGCTTTTATGTTGGGCCAATCAAACGCGAGATGACAAACACACTGAGTCTCCATCCAGCTGAAACCTGACGTCTGAAGGACACTGCCCCTCCTCTTCCTCTCCTCTCTCGTTTCTTGTGTATTATCACGCACGATGCATTTAGAACCCCAGATCTTTTTGTTCCGTCTGTCGTCTTTCCGTTTGTGGCTTTGACACCTTCCCATCTGCAGCTGATGCCACGATAACACATCTGTAGGTCAAGCTCGAGCGGCCATTCAGGGTTTCATTATCTATTCATGACTGTTATTCAGATATCTAGATGAAGTGTCCGTCCTGCTTTCTCAAAGTCAACGGTGACTTCCTTAAATGTCTTGTTTTGTCTTCACTCACATGTGATTTCAATCAGAGGGAAAGCTCCTTATTTGAGAGGCTGAACTTTAAAGAGTCCTTTCAATTGACTAACATTTGCTGCTCTGTCTGAATGACCATGTAGCGTGGAGCCCTTCCTACCTTTCGCCTTGTTCTCTCTGCAGGTGTCTCTCTATGTTTAAGGACTGCATCTGAAAGCACACAGTTTGCAGCCCACAGTGGTTTCACTCTGACAGCCAGAACTTAATATGAAAAACTGCAACGGGACATTTTTGGATGCTCAAAACCCCCTCAACTTGTTGTTCTCAGATGTTCACATTTCAGAGTCAAAAGGACAGTAATACACTCACATGTTTGACTTGTTATCCTCTAATCCCTTGTGTCCTCCTCAGGGGTGGGGAAGAGCAGTCTCCTCCTGCGATTTGCAGACAACACGTTTTCAGGTGTGTACATCTTCCTCTTCCTCCTCTGTCTTTTGGGGCATAAACCCACAATAATGTCTTTGTTTAGTTCCCAAACATCTGGGGAAATTAGAGCTGTGAAGACTAATCTATCGCTCGTCAGCTGTTACAGGAATCTCCACATTTTTGATAATGGACTTGTGGGGGTGGAGAGTCAAAAGTCTCTCGATCAAAGTTATTAAATGTGGAAAATGTTTGTTTTCTTTACTCGTCCTCTATGACCGCAAAGTGAATATGTTTGTGTTCTGGACAAAACCTTACATTTTAGGAGTGTGTAGATCCACTTCCTCCTCCTCTGTGGAATAATCTCAACCCCTTCCTCTCTGTTGTTGTGGCTCTGAAACGTGTGTGTGTGTGTGTGTTTTACAGGTAGCTATATCACCACGATCGGCGTGGACTTTAAGATCCGGACGGTGGAGATTAACGGGGAGAAGGTGAAGCTACAGATCTGGGACACAGCAGGGCAGGAGCGCTTCCGCACCATCACCTCCACGTGAGTCCACACACACACACACACACACACACACACACACACACACACACACACACACACACACACTACAACCCTGATGATAGGTGATATTCTGGTAGTTTCAGGACAAAACATGAACACACTTTAAGGCAAAATCTGTGATTATTCCAGCGTCGGGAGGGGTACTTTAACACACACACACACTCCCACACTCCCACACACACACACTCCCACACACACACACACACACCCACACACACACACACACACACTCCCACACACACTCCATCTTCAAGGTGATGCTCCATATATTCATTTCAGCAGTTGAAACTGAATGTCTTTTTGCGGTCATCAGATTGTGTTTGAGGAAGTAGTTTGCAGACAGCAGAACGAGGCGATGGTGGAGGTGTGAGAGACTGAGTGGAAGTCCCCAGAGATCCAGATATTTCCTACATGAGAGAGTTGGAGGAAGTATTCAGATGCTTGGTGGAAGTACCAACACATCATGTCAAAACAGTCGATTACAAGTACAAGCCCAGCATTGAAAATACTCACTCAAGTAAAAGTATTTTCAGCTACATGGACTTAAAGTATTCAAAGAAGAAGTAGTAATTCTGCAGAAAAATGCCCTCTGTGTATAATTATATTTATATACGTGACATTACTAGATAATATTGTTGCATAAGTAGCATTTTACTGTTTGTAAAATATGTAAATATTTTGACTCTTTTGTTCCTTAGAGGTAGGTAAGTTTGAGAAACCGGCTCCAGATACACTTGTTGTTATATTCCATGGAATGCTCTTAACATCCGATAGCAATGAATATCTGAAGTGCTTTGACAACAAATCCATTAAAACACGTCATCTGTGGCGCTGTAAAAAGCTCGACCAATCATCTGAGCCGGCTAAAGTAACTGGATGGCCTACCTGCCTGTCAGCCTTCCATCTGGGCACAAACTTATCTCGTGCCCTCATTGGTCATGTGCGCATTCGTGTGTGTTGGAGGAGGGGCTCTGTGAGGAAGTGGCAGATTTGTTCCGGCTGTGTATTTTCAAATTCTAGCGATCTCGAGCTGGTTTCTCCAAAATGACCCACCCCACCTTTAAAGAGTCCACTAGTTACATTTTTAGAGATGCATTTTGTTAAAAGTGGCTGAATCTGATTAATAAATGTAGTGAAGTAAAAGTGTAGAATAGGATCACATGGAAATACTCAAGTAAAGTGCAATTGTTGCCCCTCATGCTCTTAGGGTGTGTCCCACTGCTGGTGGGTGATATTCTGGGGTCCCATCGATGAATATGAGACGAGTTTCAGGACAAAACATCAACACACTTTAAGGCAACGCTTGTGATTATTCCAACTTCAGAAAGGAAATCTGATGCGTTTAATAGTTGCCTGTTAAAAAATGTAGCCTCTTACACTCAAGACTAGCTCTGCAGGGGACACGGGGCTTGAAGCCTCTGCAGACCATTTACATGCACTAACCCTACAGAGCACACGCTGTAAACCACTGACTGGTGGAGGTCTACGTTTATACGTCCTCCGCTGTCACTGCAGGGCAGAAAACGCTCCGTGTGTGTTGACATAAATGTGAGCGCAGCGTCTCTCCATCTCTCCACGCGCCTGTGAATGCATAATCTAAAGAGCTAGTACTTTATTCCAATTATATAAAACAATATACGAACGAGTGGCAATTAAACGCTATGAAATAAGCCCTATTATCTTTAAAAAGTGATGGTGCTAATGCTGGTAACTTTACAACGCTCTGCATCAAAATGACAGCAGTCTTACTAGGGCTGTACCCGAATATTCAAATATTCGTTCGTTGGAGTATTATTCGAGTTTCAATTTCGTTATTCGTTTTTTTTTCAAATTGAATTTATTGAAATCTCCAATATCAAGAGCCTCTTCGGGGGTGCTAACACTTAGCCATAAACGTTATCGTTTACTTTCTCCGTCTTTATATGTAGATATTACTTTTCTCCGTTAATCTCCGTCACATTGTTTCCATAGCAACAACAACTTCCTGTCAACAGCGCTAACTCTCCTTCAAAATAAAAGCATGTCCATAAATAGGAAGCCAAGCCAAATTACACTTAAGACACAACTGCAACGAAAGTAACAAACACAATGCGATATCCTTTTCAATTTCAAAGAACACAAATTGGGTTACATTAACAAATATCTATAAAACAACAGTACTTCAGAATAACAAAATGAATGCCGTGAATACACCGAAACACGTGTTGAAGCGGTTCCCTGCTGATTACTACCGAATATCCGGAGCCCGAGAAATGGTATTCGGGACAGCCCTAAGTCTTACGTAACGCCTCGTCGTCTCCTCCAGCCGCTGCTTTCTGGATACTCTTCACTAAAGGATATTAAACTGCCTCCGAGTCCATTAGCGCTGAGAGATAGTTGAGATGACGCAGCGGCCTATTTGTTCTGATGTGTGTGAAGCAGAGAGCCTCGTTAGATCCTGAATGCTATCGGAGTGGAGCTGAAACTCAACCAGAGACCTGATCTGCAGACTCAGACCAAATCCAGACCCAGAGAGTACAGCTTTTTACACTCTCCTGTAGTGTTCTATAGGTTTTAGTGCATGTAAATGGTCTGCAGAGGCTAAAACCCCTGTGTTTCAGTATGCAGTGAGGTTTGTCGCACAGCAGGAATACGGCGTACACACCATAGATTTCATACCAGGTTTCTCTCCCACACACTCCAGGCGTTTTGTACGGATTTCATTTGAGTTAGCTACGTTTGTTTAGAGATCAAGCATGCTCGTTTACACTTATTAGTATTGACTTTTTGGGCTATAAACACATAATGTCTTTGTTTAGTTCCCATACATGTGGGGAAATTAGAGCTGTGAAGATTAATCTATTGGTCGTCAGCGGTTACGTGAATCTCCACAGTTTTGATAATGGATTTGTAGTCAAAACTCTCTCGATCGAAGTTATTCAATGCTCAAAATGTTTGTTTTCTTTACTCGTCTGACCGAACACTGAATATGTTTGTTACATTTCAGGATGTCATGCTGGGCTTTTGGAAACGCGTTCCCTCATTTTCTGATGTTTTTTAAGCCCAAATAATAAGACGCAACAATAATCACTGTTTTTACTGTTGGGAAATAACTCACTCACCAAGAACAAAGTGTGTCAAGACAGGACATGGTCGTAGAGCGATGACATGTGTCAGACTCGAACCCCAAGATAAGACGGTTTATTAATCCCTGTGGGGAAATGCAGTCGTTTAAACATCAACAGGGTAAGAATGAGAAGCAGGACAGCACAGATTCACACAAAATTAAAGATTAATTAAATGAATATTGCACGTCACGTGGTCAGCGCCTTGACCCCCGCAGCCACAGCTCAAACTGTGATTTATACGTGAGGCAGGAGAGCAGTTTATTGTGTTTTTTACTACCTGTGTGTGCAGAGAGGGTTGCTGCAGGCCGGGCCCCACTCTGCTGTTGTATGTGCGTGTGTGTGTGGTTTATGGTTCTCATGTGTCATGTCCAATAAACACTCGCACACACACAGCGACACATGTTTTACACATTTGGGAAATGCTCTAACAGTGTATCCCCACACTGACACACACACACACACACACACACACACACACACACACACACACACACACACACACACACAGTGAGACAAAGGGGTATTTGTGTTTTGTGAGTGCAGTCAGACGGGGGATGCTCTCTTTCTGGTTTTTGGTGCAGCTCAATGTGTGGTCAAAGTAATTGTAGTATTTTATTAAGTATGTGGTTATTAAATAAACAAAGACTGTTTATGAGCAACAAAAGCTAATTCCTTGTATGTGTAAACCTACTTTTGCAATAAACCTGATTCTCATTTCTATTCTGATGTATGAAATATAAAGAAAAGTCAATGTGGATCCTCAGAAATTCTTCTTTTTTGTCTGTGCTTGCTGGTTACTTTCCATGTAAGTTGCCTCAAAGGGTGAACATATCAAACTAAGTTACTAAATGTGTGTATCTCTCTGTCCTCGTTCAGATACTACAGAGGGACACACGGGGTCATCGTGGTTTACGACGTCACGAGTGCAGAGTCCTTCGTCAACGTCAAACGATGGCTACACGAAATCAACCAGAACTGTGACGACGTGTGCCGAATATTAGGTGAGTTCAAACACACCTCCGATCTGTATCTATTCTGCAGGAAGTAAACAACTGTCCGTGTGATGCAGTCTTTACTGTCAAGGAGCTTAAACATCACGAACCCTTCAGGTGCATTCAACACATATCAAGATAACAACATGATATACATGAAGCCTATCAGTTAGATAGTTACTCCAACTCTTTCAAAATGCTACAAAAACTCTTGAAACCTCTCGACATGTTGTTTATACAGCGACAACATACCTGATAAAGTGTTGTTTCCTCAGAGAGAAACGTAGTGTTATGATTATGAGAGGAAAACACAGCCGACCCCCAAATATATGGGCCCAGACAAAAGCAGTTGATCTCAGAAACATTAATAAGAAGTATTGTAGATCACATATCAACGCTTTCAAATAATGTGAAAAGTCGATATAACCTACTTTCTGAGCTTTCAAACCAAGTGGTTGCAGATTTGAACTACATTACCCACTTCATATGGCTTTAGTCAATCCTTGTATGTATAACGGAACATATCTCTTAATTAGATATTTAAACATCACAACAGACCACGTACTCCTTGCAGCAGGTCGAAGGCTATGAGTGCATCATCTATATCACATGACCTCTGAAATATGTTCTTTTTTCCAGTGGGAAACAAAAACGACGACCCCAACTCGAAGGTGGTGGAGACGACCGACGCGCAGAAGTTTGCAGAGCAGATGGGAATCAACCTGTTTGAGACGAGTGCAAAAGAGAACATCAACGTCGAAGAGGTGTGTGTGTGTGTGTGTGTGTGTGTGTGTGTGTGTGTGTGTGTGTGTGTGTGTGTGTGTGTGTGTGTGTGTGTGTGTGTGTGTGTGTGTGTGTGTGTGTGTGTTGTGTGTGTGTGTGTGTGTGTGTGTGTGTGTTGTGTGTGTGTGTGTGTGTGTGTGTGTGTGTGTGTGTGTGTGTGTGTGTGTGTGTGTGTGTGTGTGTGTGTGTGTGTGTGTGTGTGTGTGTGTGTGTGTGTGTGTGTGTGTGTGTGTGTGTGTGTGTGTGTGTGTGATGCAGAGCAGCTGAAGGCAGGAAGTCTGAAATACCTGCTGATCTATTGTGCAGAGACTCATTGTAAACACTAGTGATGTCATGACGACCCATACTTTAGTGCTGAGTCAATAACAGCGCATTCGAATCCACAAAGGACGCAGTCAACTCCTTCTACGCACCCTTATTTATCTCAGAAATTCTAATAACTAATTCTAAAGTTAGTGATATGCTAAGGGAGGGGACATCTATAAGGGGTTGACCAATCACAACAGAGCTGGCCAGCTAACCGATCAGAGCAGACTGGGCTCTGGTTTCAGACAGAGGGTGAAAAGAGGAGCTGCAGCACAGGCAGTATGAGAACAATAAAGAGCTTTTTGAACATTAAAGCATGAAGACATGTAGAGACACTACATACTGATATACACCTGAACATCAGCAGGAGAGGACTCTTTAAAGTAGAGACACTACATACTGATATACACCTGAACATCAGCAGGAGAGGACTCTTTAAAGTAGAGAGACTACATACTGATATACACCTGAACATCAGCAGGAGAGGACTCTTTAAAGTAGAGTCACTACATACTGATATACACCTGAACATCAGCAGGAGAGGACTCTTTAAAGTAGAGAGACTACATACTGATATACACCTGAACATCAGCAGGAGAGGACTCTTTAAAGTAGAGACACTACATACTGATATACACCTGAACATCAGCAGGAGAGGACTCTTTAAAGTAGAGACACTACATACTGATATACACCTGAACATCAGCAGGAGAGGACACTTTAAAGTAGAGACACTACACACTGATATACACCTGAACATCAGCAGGAGAGGACTCTTTAAAGTAGAGACACTACATACTGATATACACCTGAACATCAGCAGGAGAGGACTCTTTAAAGTAGAGACACTACATACTGATATACACCTGAACATCAGCAGGAGAGGACTCTTTAAAGTAGAGACACTACATACTGATATACACCTGAACATCAGCAGGAGAGGACTCTTTAAAGTAGAGACACTACATACTGATATACACCTGAACATCAGCAGGAGAGGACTCTTTAAAGTAGAGACACTACATACTGATATACACCTGAACAACAGCAGGAGAGGACTCTTTAAAGTAGAGACACTACATACTGATATACACCTGAACATCAGCAGGAGAGGACTCTTTAAAGTAGAGACACTACATACTGATATACACCTGAACATCAGCAGGAGAGGACTCTTTAAAGTAGAGACACTACACACTGATATACACCTGAACATCAGCAGGAGAGGACTCTTTAAAGTAGAGACACTACATACTGATATACACCTGAACATCAGCAGGAGAGGACTCTTTAAAGTAGAGACACTACATACTGATATACACCTGAACATCAGCAGGAGAGGACTCTTTAAAGTAGAGACACTACATACTGATATACACCTGAACATCAGCAGGAGAGGACTCTTTAAAGTAGAGACACTACATACTGATATACACCTGCACATCAGCAGGAGAGGACTCTTTAAAGTAGAGACACTACATACTGATATACACCTGAACATCAGCAGGAGAGGACTCTTTAAAGTAGAGACACTACATACTGATATACACCTGAACATCAGCAGGAGAGGACTCTTTAAAGTAGAGACACTACATACTGATATACACCTGAACATCAGCAGGAGAGGACTCTTTAAAGTAGAGACACTACATACTGATATACACCTGAACATCAGCAGGAGAGGACTCTTTAAAGTAGAGACACTACATACTGATATACACCTGAACATCAGCAGGAGAGGACTCTTTAAAGTAGAGACACTACATACTGATATACACCTGAACAACAGCAGGAGAGGACTCTTTAAAGTAGAGACACTACATACTGATATACACCTGAACATCAGCAGGAGAGGACTCTTTAAAGTAGAGACACTACATACTGATATACACCTGAACATCAGCAGGAGAGGACTCTTTAAAGTAGAGACACTACACACTGATATACACCTGAACATCAGCAGGAGAGGACTCTTTAAAGTAGAGACACTACATACTGATATACACCTGAACATCAGCAGGAGAGGACTCTTTAAAGTAGAGACACTACATACTGATATACACCTGAACATCAGCAGGAGAGGACTCTTTAAAGTAGAGACACTACATACTGATATACACCTGAACATCAGCAGGAGAGGACTCTTTAAAGTAGAGACACTACATACTGATATACACCTGCACATCAGCAGGAGAGGACTCTTTAAAGTAGAGACACTACATACTGATATACACCTGAACATCAGCAGGAGAGGACTCTTTAAAGTAGAGACACTACATACTGATATACACCTGAACATCAGCAGGAGAGGACTCTTTAAAGTAGAGACACTACATACTGATATACACCTGAACATCAGCAGGAGAGGACTCTTTAAAGTAGAGACACTACATACTGATATACACCTGAACATCAGCAGGAGAGGACTCTTTAAAGTAGAGACACTACATACTGATATACACCTGAACACAGCAGGAGAGGACTCTTTAAAGTAGAGACACTACATACTGATATACACCTGAACATCAGCAGGAGAGGACTCTTTAAAGTAGAGACACTACATACTGATATACACCTGAACATCAGCAGGAGAGGACTCTTTAAAGTAGAGACACTACATACTGATATACACCTGAACATCAGCAGGAGAGGACTCTTTAAAGTAGAGACACTACATACTGATATACACCTGAACATCAGCAGGAGAGGACTCTTTAAAGTAGAGACACTACACACTGATATACACCTGAACATCAGCAGGAGAGGACTCTTTAAGTAGAGACACTACACACTGATATACACCTGAACATCAGCAGGAGAGGACTCTTTAAAGTAGAGACACTACATACTGATATACACCTGAACATCAGCAGGAGAGGACTCTTTAAAGTAGAGACACTACATACTGATATACACCTGAACATCAGCAGGAGAGGACTCTTTAAAGTAGAGACACTACATACTGATATACACCTGAACATCAGCAGGAGAGGACTCTTTAAAGTAGAGACACTACATACTGATATACACCTGCACATCAGCAGGAGAGGACTCTTTAAAGTAGAGACACTACATACTGATATACACCTGAACATCAGCAGGAGAGGACTCTTTAAAGTAGAGACACTACATACTGATATACACCTGAACATCAGCAGGAGAGGACTCTTTAAAGTAGAGACACTACATACTGATATACACCTGAACATCAGCAGGAGAGGACTCTTTAAAGTAGAGACACTACATACTGATATACACCTGAACATCAGCAGGAGAGGACTCTTTAAAGTAGAGACACTACATACTGATATACACCTGGACATCAGCAGGAGAGGACTCTTTAAAGTAGAGACACTACATACTGATATACACCTGAACATCAGCAGGAGAGGACTCTTTAAAGTAGAAACACTACATACTGATATACACCTGAACATCAGCAGGAGAGGACTCTTTAAAGTAGAGACACTACATACTGATATACACCTGAACATCAGCAGGAGAGGACTCTTTAAAGTAGAGACACTACATACTGATATACACCTGAACATCAGCAGGAGAGGACTCTTTAAAGTAGAGACACTACACACTGATATACACCTGAACATCAGCAGGAGAGGACTCTTTAAAGTAGAGACACTACACACTGATATACACCTGAACATCAGCAGGAGAGGACTCTTTAAAGTAGAGACACTACACACTGATATACACCTGAACATCAGCAGGAGAGGACTCTTTAAAGTAGAGACACTACATACTGATATACACCTGAACATCAGCAGGAGAGGACTCTTTAAAGTAGAGACACTACATACTGATATACACCTGAACATCAGCAGGAGAGGACTCTTTAAAGTAGAGACACTACATACTGATATACACCTGCACATCAGCAGGAGAGGACTCTTTAAAGTAGAGGACACTACATACTGATATACACCTGAACATCAGCAGGAGAGGACTCTTTAAAGTAGAGACACTACATACTGATATACACCTGAACATCAGCAGGAGAGGACTCTTTAAAGTAGAGACACTACATACTGATATACACCTGAACATCAGCAGGAGAGGACTCTTTAAAGTAGAGAGACACTACATACTGATATACACCTGAACATCAGCAGGAGAGGACTCTTTAAAGTAGAGACACTACATACTGATATACACCTGAACATCAGCAGGAGAGGACTCTTTAAAGTAGAGACACTACATACTGATATACACCTGGACATCAGCAGGAGAGGACTCTTTAAAGTAGAGACACTACATACTGATATACACCTGAACATCAGCAGGAGAGGACTCTTTAAAGTAGAGACACTACATACTGATATACACCTGAACATCAGCAGGAGAGGACTCTTTAAAGTAGAGACACTACATACTGATATACACCTGAACATCAGCAGGAGAGGACTCTTTAAAGTAGAGACACTACATACTGATATACACCTGAACATCAGCAGGAGAGGACTCTTTAAAGTAGAGACACTACATACTGATATACACCTGGACATCAGCAGGAGAGGACTCTTTAAAGTAGAGACACTACATACTGATATACACCTGAACATCAGCAGGAGAGGACTCTTTAAAGTAGAAACACTACATACTGATATACACCTGAACATCAGCAGGAGAGGACTCTTTAAAGTAGAGACACTACATACTGATATACACCTGAACATCAGCAGGAGAGGACTCTTTAAAGTAGAGACACTACATACTGATATACACCTGAACATCAGCAGGAGAGGACTCTTTAAAGTAGAGACAATACATACTGATATACACCTGAACATCAGCAGGAGAGGACTCTTTAAAGTAGAGACACTACATACTGATATACACCTGAACATCAGCAGGAGAGGACTCTTTAAAGTAGAGACACTACATACTGATATACACCTGAACATCAGCAGGAGAGGACTCTTTAAAGTAGAGACACTACATACTGAGATACACCTGGACATCAGCAGGAGAGGACTCTTTAAAGTAGAGACACTACATACTGATATACACCTGAACATCAGCAGGAGAGGAGTTTAGTAGTTTTATTACAGTACAGATATTTGATATGAAACAGATTCATTCAGTCTGTGTGTGATGTTCTTCCTGCTCTTCTCACCTTGTGTGTTTCCTCCTCCATCAGATGTTCAACTGCATCACGGAGCTCGTGCTCAGAGCTAAGAAGGAAGTTCTCGCCAAACAGCAGCAGCAGCAACAGAACGACGTGGTCAAACTCACCCGGAACAGTAAACGAAAGAAAAAGTGCTGCTAGCAAACTCAGCAGCAAGCGCCACCAACGAGAAGAGGCCGTCTTCTCTCCACACGCATAAACACAAGAGACTCGGAGCATCTAAATTAAAAAAGAAAAAAAGATTTACTAAATATACGGTGAAAGATAAATAAATGGAATAAAGAAAAAAAAAAAGAAAAGAAGTCCCCTTTGGACAAATTAATCATGAGAGAGAAAAAATAAATGTACAGATTTTATTAGACGTCAAATCAAGTTTTATTTGGATTTCAGCAGACCTCCTTTTGTTTAAGGATCGCCATCACACACACACACACACACACACACACACACACACACACACACACACACACACACACACACACACACACTCAGCTCCTTCTCTGCACACGGGACATTCAGAGTGGAGAAGGAGGTCACCTTTCTCTGGATTTACTTGTAGTTTTATTTGTTATTTTTCAGGGGGGTTTATTTCTCTCCACATTTCACACACAGCTCACGCCGACACATCGTGGATCTTTTTGTTTCTGAGGGAAAACCTTTTTTTTTTTCGACTAATCCGACGGACAGAACTGGTCTTGTTTTGTTTTGTGTCCATATTTTGCCAAGCTTCCCCTCTAATTGTGATGAGCCTACCATTTTGTTTAGTTTTTTAAGGGCAGTTGAACCTCCTCCTGGACGACTGAAAGCACCGTTCACTGCAGTCTGACATCGCTTTTAAACCTTTTTTTTATTTTAAGGAAACAAACAATACTGCCAATATTGTAGAAAATAAAATATCAGGAGCTCAGTGGCGCCTCTCGTTTTTGGACTGTTGCCATGAGGCGGGGGTCTGAATTGCTCCCCCCACCTCACTCATCTCCCTTCTGTATTTCTGCATCATTTCTCACATATCGGCCCCTCTCTCTCCTGCATTCGCTCCATCAAAGTGCATCTCGCTGTGTTTTAACTCTGAAGGGGTCAGAGGTCACTGTCTCTCCTCTCAGCTTGCAGAATATTCCCAACGATTCTCTCCGTCACAAAGCCCCCCCCTCAGCTTCCTGTTCAACCGAAGTGTTACCGGACAGTGTTTTTATCACGACAACCAGGATGAGTGAGACTGTTTAAGGAAAATGTAACCACCTCCAAAAAACATCTGAATTTCAAATATTGAACCGGTTACCTTGAATTTTTGAATTAAAGGGTTATTTTCTTTCTAAAAATAATTCAAGGTAACACTGGGAAAGAAATGTATACACAAATGATTATGATTTGTGGGTGAAGTTTTCCTCTTTTAATATAAAACAAATTCTGGGGAAGTCCTACGGAAGGGGATTAGGGACACATATTATTATTTTTTTATGTTTTAGATCTGACCAAAAGGGAAACATTTTTTTGGAGTTCTGGGATAAAAGTTTGAATTCTGACAAAAATCAAAATTGTGAGAAAAAGTTTGAATTTTGAAAATAAAGTTTGAATTTTGAAAAAAGTCGGAGTTCTGAGAAAAACTCGGAATTCTGATCAGAAAGTTGCAATTTTGACTAAAACTTAAATTGTATGAAAAAGTTGAAATTCTGAAAAAAATCGAAATTTCTAGAAAAAAGTTGGAATTCTAAGGAAAAAAAGTTGGAATTTTGACAAAAACTTAAACAGTGGGAAAATCGAAATTGTGAAAAAAAAGTTAGAAATGCGAGAACAATTTTGAATGTCTGGGATTAAAGTAAGAATTTAAGGAAAAATGTATTATATATTTTTTCAGAAAACCTAAAAGTCCTCAGAATAAAAGAAAATTCCCTTTGTGTCAGATCTCCAGAAAGTGGCCCTGTTCCTCGTCTGTAAAGCACAGCTCCGGCCTCCTCTCTTTCCACATCACCATCTCTGACATATATTTCCTTTAAATTGGGAGAGTTAAAGAAACGCAGAGTGCGCCGGCTGAGCTCCTCGAGAGGTGGAGGATATCAAATCTCACTCGTTATGATTTCTACTCGATAAGTGTATGTATATATAAATATATTTGTGTGTTTATATTCCCTATAGAACATACACACAGGATGAAACACCGTCAGCTGTGGTTTGCTGCACACTGGAGAAAAAGAGATGTACTATTCATTTTTCCCAACATGAATTTAATCAGTAATAAAAACGTTTTAAAGGAATAAATATTTGACACATAATGGCTGATGTCGTGCGTCAGTGATTTGAGGCTCGCTCTTAACTTCATTTTAAACCTGTGTCTTTTCATTTTATTTGTGCTTTTCTGTGAATAAAAGTGTATGAGAGGAAGTGTGAAGCGTCTCGTTGCTGTCCGTCTTTAATCGTCTGTTCGTGTCTTTACTGTCATCCATTACTATCATCACTTGTTTACAGTTTTACACACATCACTTTTTACTTTTTCAGGGAAGAGCGGGGATTTTACAACATCAGGACTTCACGTTATCATTAAAAAAACAAAGCTAATGCTGAAATACTTATTTAAAACTTAAGTCTGACTGACTTTTATCAGGTAGTTTATTCAAAGTGTTGCACATTTCGACAAGAAAAAGTCAGACGTCGCCTAAGGTGAAGGTGACTCATGTTTTACACAAATTACAGATTCTGAGTATAAGAATTCAGAGGTGGAAGAAATATTCAGATAAATGCACACAAGACTAATCACACAAACAAGACACAGGTGAGGAGGGAGGAGAAAACACAGGGGCACAAGGTGAACACAATCGGGTAATCAGGCAGGAGGGAACACAGAGACAGGAAGCAACAGGCAAGACGGGGGGTGAACACTTTTCAAAATAAAACAGGAAACCAAAGACAGATCAAGACAAAACACAACACGGACAGATCGTGACATTACCCCCACTCAAGGGACGGATCCCAGACGTCCCTAAAAAAAAACAACGTCCAACAGGGTGGGTGGAGGGGGACCGGAGGAGGGACTCGGACAGACATCCCGGGGCAAAGCAGAAGCCGAGAAAGGGGACTCGGGCGGACGGCCCGGGGGAACAGCAACAGAGCAGCGAAGTCCGTGGCGGGGAAACTCAGGGGGCCGAAGGCCTCGTCGGGGTAAATTAGGGGGCCGGACTCCAGGGCGAAGGCAGCGGCTGGGGAACTCAGGGGGCCGGGCTCGAGGGCGAAGACCGCGGCTGGGGAACTCAGGGGGCCGGCTCGAGGGCTCCACATTTGTGGAATCAGCTTCCAGTTTGTGTTCGGGCGGCAGACACCCTATCCGTTTTTAAGAGTGCGATTAAGGCAAGGCAAGTTTATTTATATAGCACTTTTCAACACAAGGCTATTAAAAGTGCTTTACAAAAAATGAAAGACATTAAGAAAATGGCATTTAAAATCAGTCATTAAAAAGAAAAGCTAATAAAATAAAGAAAAGCTAATAAAAATAAAGATTAAAGATCCTTTTTGATAAAGCTTATAGTTAGGGCTGATTAGATTCAGCCCCTAGTTTTGCTGATATAGGCTTAGTTTGTCGGGGGACATCTTACTTCTTCCTTCTCTCTGTCTATACCTGTGTACTCTCATGTTCCGATTAAACCAGCTTCCCCAAATGTCTTTCTTTTTGGTGTCTATATACGCCGGGATCCGGAGTCATGGATGATCCTGCGGTCCTGTGTCCTGCATCGCGAGCCCTGGATCTTGAGTCGTGGCTGTGGGCCTGGATCATAGGTCCTGGATGGATATCCTCGTGGATTCATCTTCTTATTATACACACTTGCATTTCCAAACATTTGGACTACCTATGTTGCAAATGTATTATCTTTTCAATTTACACACGGCATCTATTGCACGTCTGTCCGTCCTGGGAGAGGGATCCCTGCTCTGTTGCTCTCCCTGAGGTTTCTCCCATGTTCCCTTTAAACTGTGGGTTTTCTCCGGAAGTGTTTCCTTGTACGATGTGAGGGTCTAAGGACAGAGGGTGTCGTATTGTCATACTGATGTTCTGTACAAACTGTGAAGACCACTGAGACAAATGTAACATTTGTGATATTGGGCTATATAAATAAACATTGATTGATTGATTGATTGAGGGCGAAGGCCGCGGCTGGGGAACTCGGGGGGCCGGGCTCGAGGGCGAAGGCCGCGGCTGGGGAACTCGGGGGGCCGGGCACAAGGACGGGCAAGAAGGTGGCGACGGGACAGCTCCAGAGGACGGGCAGGAAGGCAGTACCGGGACAGCTCCGGAGGACGGGCAGGGAGACGGCGTAGGCTGTGATGAGGCCCCTCCGGGGTCAGCTGGATCGCCGGAGCAGGAGCACAGGGATCTGGAGCACTGGGAGCTGGAAATGGCGGAACCCCCGGTGGTACAGGAACCGGTGTTGGCCGGACAGGAAACGGAGCAGACAGAACCCTGGACAGAACATGGGCTGGTGTCAGTGGGACCTCTGACTGAACAGGATTCGGAGCTGGCTGGACCTCCGACGGAACAGGTGTTGGCGGGATCCCCGGCGGGACAGGTGTCAGCGGGACCCCCAACAGGTCAGGGCACGGAGTTGGCAGGACTCCCAGCAGAACCCCCAACGAAACAGGACATCGGGTTGGCAGGACCCCCGGCTGAACAGTAGTCGGCGGGACCCCCAACAGGACAGGACACAGAGTTGGTAGGACCCCCAGCGGAACCCCCAACGGACCAGGACATAGGGTTGGCAGGACCACCGACGAAACAGGTGTCGGCTGGACCCCCAACGGAACAGGACATCGGGTTGGCAGGACCCCCGGCAGAACAGTAGTTGACGGGACCCCCAACAGGACAGGACACGGAGTTGGCAGGACCCCCGGCAGAACAGTAGATGGCGGGACCCCCAACGGGACAGGACATAGAGTTGGCAGGACCCCCGGCGAGACAGGTGTCGGCGGGACCCCCAACAGGACAGGACACGGAGTTGGCAGGACCCTGAGTGGAACAGGTGATGGCGGGACCTCCAACAGGACGGTACTGAAGCCGGAATCACGGCTGCTGGGACCGGTACTGGAACCATGGCTGCTGGGGCCGGTACTGGAGCCGGAACCACAGCTGCTGGGGCCGGTACTGGAACCATGGCTGCTGGGGCCGGTACTGGGGCCGGAACCATGGCTGCAGGGGCCGGTACTGGAGCCGGAACCACGGCTGCAGGGGCCGGTACTGGAGCCAGAACCATGGCTGCTGGGGCCTGTACTGGAGCCCAAAGAATGGCTTCTGGGGCTCGGGCTGCTAACCTGGACTTGCGACTCCTCCTCTTAGGAGCCTTTTGGAGGCTCTGTGGACCTCCAAAAGCCAGACGAGTACCCGAGAACGGATCCTGGACAGGAGCAGGAAATGGGGAAGAAGCAGGGGCTGACTCCAGACAGAACACACCGAGACGTATGGTGTCAGGTTGGGAATTGGGAGGCAGGGGGCTAGCAGGCCGGGAATCACAGGAAGTCCATAATCCAGCCAGGTAAGAACTTCACTAAACATGGCTTCTCTGTTGCCATCTGGTGCGCCTCTGCCAGAGCAGCCTCTTTCTGCTCAACACTGGACCCTCCCCTCCACCTACCATAGCAGAAAGCCAATGAATAGGTAAATCTATGTAACTCCACCTCAAATGGATCATCTGCTGGGTCCATCTTTGGTTAGATCCTTCTGTCAGGGTTGAGTGAAGCAGGCAGGACCCAAATGCAGATTTAAACAGAAAATACCTTTATTTCAAGGCTAATGTAACAAACATAACTCTTCCCTGTGAACACAGTCAAAGACTAACAAGGATCTAACAATGACAGACAGAAAAACCAGAACTTAAATGCACACAAGACTAATCACACAAACAAGACACACAGGTGAGGTGGGAGGAGAAATCACAGGGGCACAAGGTGAACAAAATCGGTAATCAGGCAGGAGGGAACACAGAGACAGGAAGCAACAGGCAAGACGGGGGGTGAACACTTTTCAAAATAAAACAGGAAACCAAAGACAGATCAAGACAATACACAACACAGACAGATCGTGACATTACCCCCACTCAAGGGACGGATCCCAGACGTCCCTAAAAAAAAACAAAGTCCAAAACATCCAACAGGGTGGGTGGAGGGGGACCGGAGGAGGGACTCGGACGGACATCCCGGGCAAAGCAGAAGCCGAGAAAGGGGGCCCAGGGGCAAGGTAGAGGCCAAGAAGGGGGACTCGTGCGGACGGCCCGGGGGAACAGCAACAGAGCAGGGAAGTCCGCGGCGGGGAAACTCAGGGGGCCGAAGACAGGGGTGAAGGCCTCGTCGGGGTAAATTAGGGGGCCGGACTCGAGGGTGAAGGCAGCGGCTGGGAAATTCAGGGGGCCGGGCTCGAGGGCGAAGGCATCGGCTGGGGAAAGTCAGGGGGCCGGGCTCGAAGGCGGGCAAGAAGGTGGCGACGGGACAGCTCCAGAGGACGGGCAGGAAGGCAGTACCGGGACAGCTCCGGAGGACGGGCAGGGAGACGGCGTAGGCCGCGATGGGGCCCCTCCGGGGTCAGCTGGATCGCCGGAGCAGGAGCACAGGGATCGGGAGCACTGGGAGCTGGAGATGGCGGACCCCCGGTGGTACAGGAACCGGTGTCGGCCGGACAGGAAACGGAGCAGACGGAACCCTGGACAGAACATGGGCTGGTGTCAGTGGGACCTCTGACTGAACAGGATTCGGAGCTGGCTGGCCTCGTCGGGGTAAAGATAAAACACAACACGGACAGATCGTGACAACTCTGGTACAGTAAAAGTCCTGCATTCAAAATGCTACTCAACAGTGGCGGCCAGCCCATAGGGGCGCCGCCCCCCCCTCTTCCCACATGTTTGATTGTCATTAGAAAATATATATATAGATATTTTTAAAAAAATAATATTTTTATTTTTATTTTTAATGAACAAGGTAAATATGATATAGTTGGTATTGTAAGCATTGGGTTGAGAGGTCATGTGTTGTGAGCATGCACAGTCTGTCCTGGAGTGGTGAAGGAGAGTTTGGTGTGACTCGACAATAATAAACGGAGGCGCTATCTGGGACGCTCCAAAAAGTACTAAGTTCCTGAGTTTTTGCTACACAGAAGTATCTTTGAAGCCTTAACACCTCGGACGTTACAGTATCAGTAAAATGTATAATCTACAATAAAATCTCGTTTAAAATTGTTTTACGATGTCTAAAGTTACTGCTAAGTCACATGTTTCCTGCCTGGCCGCAGCGTGTATCATTACCCTCTCTCGTCTGGGCGCTAAGAAAGGGGCCCTCAGCCAGAGCAGCAGCAGCCAACACATTGCTGACTGTTGCTATCTGTAAACTATGCCGCCGAAACATGATTTCAGCCAATCAGTGTCGTCAGATCTGATGGTTACAGGGCGGCAATTTCAGCGCCCGATGCAGTCTGTGAGTTGTTTGGACTCGTATTCTACAGTCAGTAGGCTACTTGATGAGGATGGCTGCGTCTGCAGGTGGAGACTCCGGTGCTAGTGGATCGCCGGAGCTGTAGATTAACATGTACATGCTTATTGTAGTTGTAAGGGCAATGCCTATAGCAACCATGGAGCATATGTGTGGGCTGGACCTGTATTTTACAGGAAAGGAGTGAGCAGAGGGTCGAGTTGTCGATTCTTGTTCAGTTTTCTGTGACTCCTCACCCTCTCAGACTTTGAGTTACGCGAGCTGCTAAAGAGACGCCCTACCTTGGAAACCAAACAACGGTGTATTAAAGTCAGAGTGGAGACAGTCGTGAGTAAATCTGATTTAGTCAGAAATCCGGAGAAATGCGGGAGAAATATGACCCCGGGAGGAAACCGGGAGAGGGCAATGAAATCGGGAGTCTCCCGTGAAAATTGGGAGGGTTGGCAAGTATGACACACACACACACACATAATGTTCGTATTCAGTCTCCTGATTTTAAATGGGAATTAAATCATTTGAGTGTTCCCAAAGCACCAGTGTTCTGCAGTTTGTGTGGGCCTACTGTACTGTTGCACAGTTTATACTGTAGAAACGATGTCCAGGACAAGGTATTTGGAAGTTTTGGAAGATTCATAGCTAACCACACTGAAGATTATGGATTATCTCATATTTTTAAACCTCAATTTGTCCTCCCCCCACCTCTCTAACATCACCAGAAGTCATAATTTAAGGGGTCATTTCTCAAAATGTTCCACTAAAAATATTTCCCCACCAGCCGCCACTGCTACTCAAGTACAAGTAGAAAAGTATTATCATCAAAATATAGTTAAAGTAGCAAAATAAAAGTATTTACTGAACACTGCGTGGAGGAAAGGCTGACTTCGAGTTAATAAACTAGTTAAAGTGGGATTCCAAAAGCATTTTAGCGTGCACTTGGAGAGAGAAGTGGCGTTAGATGTCAAGAAATACACAGACAGCGTCAGAGAGTGCTTCCCACAATGCACCTGTTCAGACCCGCCAAAGATCGTATATTGGAAAGATGGATTTTGGAAAAACAGCTGAGCTTGTTTCACCAACAAAACAAAAAATGTACCAGCTGGAACTGTGGCTGCATAATATAAGTGGTATGAATATATTATATCTACAGAAGTACACTTTACGATATGTTAGTTATTTACAGAACATATTAAATGTGTCCTAAAAACGTTGCACATCATTTAGTTGGAATGCTGTTAACAGTTCTTCTACGCACGAAATTCTTTATTATTATTCCGCCCGTTATTTTGCCGGTCTTCTTCTCCCGCATTGAACATCGCAGAAACTCCGTTCAAACATCAAAATGTTCAGCTCGGTCAGGAATCGATGGCTATTACTTTTTTCATTCATAACTTTAATAATTCTAGAGATACATCCCATCATTTATCACATTTTTAACTATTGAAGTCAATGGAGAAAATCTTCACACTTCAACAAATCTTCATGCGACTTCAACTGCTAACTGTTCATTCATACTTTCACTCAGAAACCTCATTCCAAATTTAAAATGTTACACATCTTTCTGACATTATTCGTGTAACACAACTTTTAAATCTGATTCTTACTTTAAGAGATATTAAACATTGTTCAGACCTTGGTAAAGAGGCTTTCTTCAGATTTTAACATTAACTAGAGTGTGTGATGTCACAGAGTGGAGGAAATATTGAAATTTGCCTTCATATTTTTTTTTTTAAAACTGCCATAATTCCCAAACCCTACATTCCTGAGACATACTTTTTCATGACAAACGTAGGAAAACATCTCGTAGCTTGAAAAATGACAAATAATTGAGCAAAAAATAATTTAACAAAATGCCTCTTGAGGGCATGAAGTGACAACAACTTTCAACATGCCTCCATTAAAGCCCATTGTAATTTCAGGCTGATATTTCCTCACAGCAGCCGCACACCTTTAGTTAAACTGCCAAAAAGGCCACATTATTAACCCAAAAAGCACACTTCAGATACTCAAAGTCCTTGAGATGCTTCACGCTTTGAAATGTCACCGATATCTGTAACGGTTCTTCAACAAAACGTTCACATGTAAGAGGTTTATCTCTCATTCAGAACTGAACAATGGAAACCTGTGATCTCTGGACGCCTCCTAAACTCAAATATAAACACCTGTGTCATGGAACACGATGATGTCATCACTCCAACTGACATGACAAGATAAAGGTTAATGGTCCTGCCCTCAACAGCTCTACGTCAATTATGGGGCGTCATCATATGCCGTTTCCATGGAAGATCAATAGGGCGATCAAGAGAAGAGAGAGAGGGCGATCAAGAGGAGAGAGAGAGGGCGATCAAGAGAAGAGAAAGAGGGTGATAGAAGAGTGAGAGGGTGATCAAGAGAAGAGAGAGGGCGATCAAGAGGAGAGAGGGCGATCAAGAGAATTGAGGTCGATCAAGAGAAGAGAGAGAGGGTGATAGAAGAGTGAGAGGGCGATCAAGAGAAGAGAGAGAGGGTGATAAAAGAGTGAGAGGGTGATCAAGAGAAGAGAGAGGGCGATCAAGAGAAGAGAGAGGGCAATCAAGAGAAGAGAGAGGGCGATCAAGAGAAGATAGAGAGGGCGAGCAAGAGAAGAGAGAGAAGAGAGAGAGGGCGATCAAGAGAAGAGAGAGGAGAGAGAGAGGAGAGAGAGGGCGATCAAGAGAAGAGAAAGAGGGTGATCAAGAGAAGAGAGAGAGGGCGATCAAGAGAAGAGAGGGCGATCAAAAGAAGAGACGGTGATAGAAGAGTGAGAAGGTGATCAAGAGAAGAGAGAGAGGGCGATCAAGAGAAGAGAGAGAGGGCGATCAAGAGAAGAAAGAGAGGGTGATAGAAGATTGAGAGGGTGATCAAGAGAAGAGAGAGAGGGGGCGATCAAGAGGAGAGAGAGAGCGATCAAGAGAAGAGAGAGAGGGCGAGCAAGAGAAGAGAGAGAAGAGAGAGAGGGCGATCAAGAGAAGAGAGAGAAGAGAGAGAGAGGAGAGAGAGAGGGCGATCAAGAGAAGAGAAAGAGGGTGATCAAGAGAAGAGAGAGAGGGCGATCAAGAGAAGAGAGGGCGATCAAGAGAAGAGACTGTGATAGAAGAGTGAGAAGGTGATCAAGAGAAGAGAGAGAGGGCGATCAAGAGAAGAGAGAGAGGGCGATCAAGAGAAGAAAGAGAGGGTGATAGAAGAGTGAGAGGGTGGTCAAGAGAAGAGAGAGAGGGCGAGCAAGAGAAGAGAGATAGAAGAGAGAGAGGGCGATCAAGAGAAGAGAGAGAGGGTGATTGAAGATTGAGAGGGTGATCAAGAGAAGAGAGAGGGGGCGATCAAGAGGAGAGAGAGAGGGCGATCAAGAGAAGAGAGAGAGAGAGGGCGATCAAGAGAAGAGAGAGAGGGTGATAGAAGAGTGAGAAGGTGATCAAGAGAAGAGAGAGAGGGTGATAGAAGAGTGAGAGGGTGATCAAGAGAAGAGAGAGAGGGCTGTCAAGAGAAAAGAGAGAGGGCGAGCAAGAGAAGAGAGAGAGGGCGATCAAGAGAAGAGAGAGAGTAATGTAACCTTCTAATGTAATGTATAACTCCTATTAAAATGTTCAAAAAGTGCTCAAACTTCACATGTGTCACTATGGGACAGTTTTGAGATTTCTTCAAATGCCGTTGCCATGGCAACACAATGCTCGCCATGAAACACGGTTTTCTCATAACTTCAGTGAAAATACTCCAAACAGCCCAAAACTTCACAGGTTTGGTAACGATGAACACATCTCAGCGTATTATGGAGTGTCATCAAATGCCGTTGCCATGGCGACAGATCGTTCGCCATCAAGTTAGTTCAAAAGTTTGCAGTTCAAATATTCTGCTGCTTTTCCAAGCCTTTTTACTTTATTTTCTTCTCTCATCACATATTCAAGCCCCCAGTGTTCATGTATAATTTCAATCTAAATTCTTCACTTTCTTCTTAAACATTACATTTCAGCATAGCAGTTTAGCATCAGCTATTTCAGCATAAAGCATTCCCACTAGCAATTTCTTCAGGAATTGCATTCTCTAGTTGTAATATGATGATGGTTTGTGTAACTGATTAGCATATTTTGCACTTGTATTGCAACCAAAGGTCAAGAAGCGAAACTGATAATTGATTCATGGACAAAGTGTTTCTTTTGTTATATTTAATAAAGTAAAAAAGAAAGTCAATATACAAATGAAATCAATCTAAAATGTAGGAACAGAGCTACTTCATCCTCAGAGGATAAATAAGTTCAGCTTACAGTCTCACAATACAAATGATAATTTTACCTGACACACCACACACAATTAATTTAACCATGTTCAATTAGGAGAATAATAAATATGCGTACCATAAATGAATAATCTATAGAACCTCCAGAACAAAAAGTCATGGCCTCTATGTAAACGGATCCCATCATACACAGAGTCAGTATGTAATGATTGTTAGAGATGGATCAGTTATTCCCTGATTGGCAGATTCCACCCACACTGACGGAGGTTCACCATATTTCAAACTTCTTGTCTATCTCAAGGAATGTCCTGTACACAATTTTGTTCTCGAACAGTCTAGAAAAATCGAAAAGCAGAGAGCACAGACATCAGTCAGAACAATACGTTGAATAGCAGTTTTATAATGATGAACGATTCCTCTGTCAGCCTATGAGTACAAATGATACAGTAATTATGGTTTTCTCACCGCACAGTGTGAATGGAGGGGTTGATGGAGACCAGTTGGAGTAAGAGGTCAGTCGAAGCATCAGTGATGTTGTTGTGGCTCAGACTGTAACACAAACACAAACAGAGGAACTTTTATTCATGTAATACATGGGCTGGGCAGTATAGGTACAGTCCAAACAAACATTATGTTCACTTGTATGTCTCCATTAGTTATGTCACTTTTCTGACACTGCCGTATGACTGCCTGAGTTCTGATTACAGCGTATCTTCAGACTGATTTTGTTCAACAGGTTTCAGTAAACAAAGCCCTGAATCGAATGATCAGACACAGAGAGATTCACACCCCAAACTAATGATTACACTAAAACCTATTTTCCACATGAACACCTTTGCCACTCACTCGAGGACTTGTACTTTGTGCAGCTGCGCGCTGAGTGTGAGCAGCAGCTGGTCAGTGAGCTGACAGTGACTGAGGTCCAGCTCTGTCAGCTCTTCAGAGGAGTCCAGAATCAGGGCCAAGGCTGCACAGGCCCTCTGATCCAGTGAGCTGTGGCTGAGGTCCAGCTCTCCCTCCAGGGCTTTGCAGAGGGACACTGCCCGTCCCACTGTGTCCCACTCACTGTTCACAGGAACCAGGGACACCAGCTGCAGGAGGACAGCTTTACTGGCTCTGAACAGGAGACACAGAGCAAAGAGCAAACTGATGTGATGCAGAAAGATGTATAAAAACAGCTTCTTCTCTGGTTTAAGTGTTAGTGGTCTTCGTACCTGAGTTGAACTTTGTGTAAGACAGGAAACAGCAGGTCTAATCCGCTGTCCTGAAACTCACATTCCTGCAGGATGAGCTGTGTGTCCCGTCTGCTGCGTCTCAGGATGGTGGAGACGGCCCTGCAGTCTTCAGCCGTTAGACGGAGAGTGTCACTCTGATCTTCCTCTGGCAGCTCCACACAGGAGGAGCAGGACAGATCCAGCCTGTGCTGCACAGTCCTGAGCAGAGACTCTGCGGCCCCCTGCTGGGCACCAGAGGCAGTGCAGCCGTGAACCAACCTCAGCAGCAGGTTCCTGTCAACACTAGGAGCACATTTATTAACAATTAAACTAACAACTTATCCATAAAGCTTCATTGACTGAGAAAATGTTTTTTTAATTATAATTATGTTTCTCATCAACTTGGGTCTTATTGAAGTCTTGTTCTTAATTTCTCTCAGTAATTAAGAACATAGAGCATATCACAGAATAACACCAGATCAAAATGGTTGGAAACAAATGTCCAGTTAAGAAGAGAACATGTTTTTATTGCTGTTGGTTTGGCTTTTCAGAAATGTGCCTCTTTAACATCGAAAGATAAGTGGCTGAAGGTGTTGTGCTGTTCCACCCTGCTGTTTCCATTCACTAACATTGGTGTTTGACAGATGGTAAAGTACAGCTGGGCCGAGATAAATACACGTTTAGAACTTTCATTTGTCAGACCTGAGTTGAGAAACTTTGTCCAGGTTCAAGAGGATGGACTCTATTTTCCATGGTGGTATGGAGGTCCACAGGAGGTTCAGTTTGACTCCATCACTGTGTGCGAGGGTGTAGAGCAGAGCGACACAGTCCATTGGTGACATCTCTCTGCAGGTCAGGTTGATCACATGACCCAAGGACCTCAGTAAACTGGGTATAATGAAACTGGCTCGAGCTTTGTAAATCTCCCTGATAGCAGTCAACACAAAGCTGGGAGAGGGCCTGAAAGAGTTTTAATGAACACACTTCAGTAAAATAAGTACCAACAAAATATATGTAAATGATAAAACAGGATAAACGACTCCATTGATGACCTTTTAAACACAATCCTGTCCAGGTAGGGAAGCAGACGTGTGATGTTCTCCTGTAAGAAAAGGTTCTTCCTCATGTTCACAGTGAGGGTCTGAGCTGATGGATGCTGCAGTAGAAGGTGGAGAAGCTCCCAGTTCAGAGAGAAGGAGGTCAGGTCTCCTCCAAACTTACTCAAGAAGGACCAGGTCAAGTCCTGGTCCTGGAGTTCATGGAGCAGGGAGAGTAGCTGCTGGACATTCTTCTCACTCAGTCTGCAGGATACAGTGTATGAAGATATGTGAACATTAATATCATCTGCATGAATTATTGTGAGTGTTTGAGGCTCCAGAGAGACTTTTACTTGATGTTGAGAGGGCCATCGTGGAGCAGCAGTGGTGTGAGACCCAGAGCAGGAACACAGACCTCAGTCAGGTCCAACTGTCTCACTGCCCAGTATCTCAGCAGGGAAGCCAAGCTACTGACAACCTTCAACAACACTCTGTGTGATGGTTGGGCGGTCTGAGGGCAGAGAGAAAGCTCTTCAACAGTCACCTGACAGCCCACTCCCCATCTCCTCACCCAGCCACCCAGCAGCAAGGCCATGTCGTTAGAAAGCCTGGAAACAAAGAAAGAGAATTGTACCATCATTTACCTTTATCCCCCGGCTGAACATTCAAACTGGACACGATGGCATGATAACATAAAAGATTAACTGTTTAAATGCGCACTTGAGACTGTGTAGTTGCGTTGTTCGTCTGAAGAGAGCAAAGGCTTCCTTATCAGACATCTTTCTGGGTTTGAGGATGAGATCCACATTAGCGCCACACAGCTGGAGAACTCTCCCCACAGACAGGCAGGTTTCCCTGAGTAACTCTCCTGATAGCAGCAGGGTGATCCCTGGCATTCTTAGGAGAGCGGCCGACTGCTCAGTCTCCTCTCTGGATCTGACAGAGATGAACGCACACACTCTCTGGAAGAACTCTGGACCACAGCTGAAACACAACAACATGGATGAACAGTGAGAAGGCAAAGCTCAAGTACAATAAATGCTGCTCTGCCAACCATCTTATCTGCAAGGTCTTTAATCAAGAATGACATTCAAAGAAAATAAAATAGGATGAATTAGTTTAAGTGCACGTCTGTCAGTCAACATGATAAAGCATTGCTCTGTCTGTTGTGCTAAATACTAAACTGAACAATCAGATTTATCTACAGAATATCCATTTATACATTTCAGTTAATCAACTGCTTCCAATGTACTGTTGATTTGTTACTGAATCTTTTTAACAAACCTTTCTGAGGAATACATTTAATATTATAAATATAGAGAATGACTGACCTGAGCTGTGAGATATGAGGCAGACACTGCAGCAAAGTCCTCACTTCACTCTCTCCATCTGAGCAGCCTCTCAGCTCCACTTGTTTCTTCTCTGGTTGGAGTCTCAGCACTTCCAGCAGGATGGAGCTCTTTCTCTCTGAGAGGTATATGATCCAGACTGCAGGAGCTGACTGGAGAACTGACTGTAATGATGGAAGGACACTCAGACCTGATTTAGTCTCATAGTCCTTCAGGTGGGAGTACAGATCCAGCAGGAAATCACACTGAAATTCTTCATCATCTTCATCATCTTCATCATCTATGCGAGTAAGAGGGAATGATGGATATGTGCACACTGATGATAACAGCTGCAGTGTCTTCTCTCCTGTCTGCTGCTCTCTCTCTGCTGCTGCACAGAACAGAGTCCCAAAGAACTTGACTCCACCTGAGAAGTACAAACCAGAAACTGGAACGAGAATTGAACAGTTTGTTATCAGATGATGTCAACAGCAGAGAAAGACTCTGATAGGGAGTGTTTCTGATAAATGTCTACAAATACCTGCCACTGAGCAGAAGACAGTAGAGGTAGAAGACTGAGGTTTTAAATAATGACTGAACTGGGAAATGTAATTCATCCACATCATGTTCAGAAGTGAAGGACTATTGTCTCTTTCTGAAACACTGCCCACAATCAGATGTCATTCATTTTTGTATTTCTTAAGAAATCCACATTATATCATAAAATATACATGATCTGTCCGACTGACCTGAGCTGTGAGATATGAGGCAGACACTGCAGCAAAGTCCTCACTTCACTCTCTTCCTCTGAGCAGTCTATCAGCTTCACTTGTTTCTTCTCTGGTTGGAGTCTCAGCACTTCCAGCAGGATGGAGCTCTTTCTCTTTGAGAGGTCTATGATCCAGACTGCAGGAGCTGACTGGAGAACTGACTGTAATGATGGAAGGACACTCAGACCTGATTTAGTCTCATAGTCCTTCAGGTGGGAGGCCAGATCCAGCAGGAAATCACACTGAAATTCTTCATCATCTTCATCATCTATGTGAGTAAGAGGGAATGATGGATATGTGCACACTGATGATAACAGCTGCAGTGTCTTCTCTCCTGTCTGCTGCTCTCTCTCTGCTGCTGCACAGAACAGAGTCCCAAAGAACTTGACTCCACGTGAGAAATCAAAACAGAAACTGGAACGAGAATTGAACAGTTTGTTATCAGATGATGTCAACAGCAGAGAAAGACTCTGATTGGGAGTGTTTCTGCTAAATGTCTACAAATACCTGCCATTGAGCAGAACACAGTAAACTCAATCAACCTCATATTGAAGTAACTTTGCCGTTAACAGGATCATATTTGGATTTTGGAAAGCTTTCAGTAAATGAACCTTTTCACAACATGTGTCATCACTTAGCTCTTCTGCTGACTCACAACACAGACACTAATCCTGTTCCTCAAATCACTTCTTATTTGCTTCCCAGTGATTCTGTTCACCTGAGGGGATTTTACTTTGTGAATGAGTTTTGTATGTAAAGTGATGTTCCCAATATAATAATGTAAAAAGTGGAACAACAACATCTAGAGTCACTATCACGTAGAAGAGAACATCACATCACTAAACTGTTCACTTTGCTCCTGAGAGAATACACATGTGAATTAGAGTTTAGTAACACCTCCTCTGTCTCTGATGACTGTTAGGCACCAAGCCTGTTTTTCAGGTCTCAGGCTCGAAAATGACATTCCCAGAACAAATGACCATATCTTCCCTTCTAAAAGGGTTAAATTAATAATCTTTTTTCTCAAAGTAATGATAAAACTGTGAGTTGGATGTAGAAGTGTCAGAATCAATATAGATGTTTTTTATTTTTAAAGAAAATTCAGATTAAACATAGTAAAAAAACTGTAAATTATAGTGTCCGTCCAAAAAATATTTTTTACTTATAGTGAAAATCACCCTTGGATGATGGGATAGTAGACTAAAAGCTTTAGGAATCCAAAGTACAACATATAATAAGTACCCTGTATCAAGATTGATGCAAAACAAGTGATATTTGACCTTTTTAGAGAGATTTAGCAACAAAAAAAACACTTCTGGGGTCATTTGGGTGGATTTTACCTATCTCTGGCCCCCCTTGGTCGATTTGGATGATTGACACCTCTTTTTAACCGCTAGAGCCAATAGAATCGAGGGGAAGTTCCACATACACACACACAGGTTACCAAATAAGGAGTGAGAGAGACGCGTAGAAAAACCGGAAGCTGCGCGAACCTCTGGTGGCTAGTTAGCTGAGTTTCTTCCCGTTACATGGATATGAAACATTCATAGTTTCACATCCGATCACTTCTTCATTTCATTCTCTCTACCCCTTTCCAAACATAACAAACTAATCTCTTCTCATCCTGCACTTGTCTGCCGTAACCTTCGTTCCATCTCCCCCACTACCTTTGCCTCGTCGGTGCTCTCAGCCCTCCCTTCCTCTGATTCGTTCCATCTCCTGCCTCCAAACTCTGCTGCAGAAACTCTCCTCTCTACTCTCTCATCCACTCTGGACTCGCTCTGTCCTCTCACATCTCGGCAGGCTCGTCAGTCCCCTCCTGCTCCCTGGCTAAATGATGCACTGCGTGCTAATAGAACCGTCCTTAGGGCAGCAGAGCGGAAATGGTGGAAATCCAAACACCGTGACGACCTCCTAACCTATCAGGCTCTCCTCTCCTCTTTCTCTGCTTCGATCTCTCAGGCAAAAAGCACTTTCTTTCACGATAAGATCCAATCTTCCTATTCCAATCCTAAAAAACTATTTTCCATCTTCTCCACCCTCTTGGACCCTCCAAAAGCTCCTCCCCCCTCCTCACTTCTGTCAAGCGACTTTGTTACCCACTTTGAAAAAAAGGTTGATGATATTCGCTCTTCTTTTTCTGACTCACCTTTACTCACCGCTGGGTCACCAGACCCTTCTTCCACCAACACACTAACCTCCTTTTCCCCTCTCTCTCTCCAAGTGAGGTTCTTACCCTCATTACCTCTGCCCGCCCTACCACCTGTCCTCTGGACCCTATCCCTTCAAACCTCCTTCAGACTATCGCTCCTGATATTCTACCGTTTCTCACCCATTTCATCAACACTTCTCTAACTTCTGGTCACTTTCCAAACAGTCTCAAGGAGGCAAGAGTAAACCCTCTCCTAAAGAAACCCACTCTCAACCCGTCTGATGTTATAAACTACAGGCCTGTCTCTCTCCTCCCGTTCCTGTCTAAATCACTTGAACGCGCTGTCTTTAAACAACTCTCCTGTTATCTCAATCAGAACAACCTTCTGGATCCGCACCAGTCTGGTTTCAAGGCAGGTCACTCCACAGAAACTGCTCTCATTGCTGTCACGGAGGAACTGCACACTGCCAAAACTGCATCCCTCTCCTCTGTCATCATCCTGTTGGACCTGTCTGCTGCATTCGACACGGTGAATCATCAGATCCTCCTTCGCACGCTCCAAAAACTTGGAGTTTCAGGCTCTGCACTTTCCCTCCTCACCTCATACCTGAAAGACCGTACCTACAGGGTGACTTGGAGAGGGTCTGAGTCCGACCCTTGTCAATTAACTACAGGGGGTCCCTCAGGGCTCTGTTCTTGGTCCCCTCCTCTTCTCCCTGTACACAAACTCGCTCGGATCAGTCATTAGCCCGCATGGTTTTTCTTACCACTGCTACGCTGACGACACCCAATTAATTCTGTCCTTTCCCCGCTCAGAGACCCAGGTCGTCGCACGCATCTCTGCTTGTCTAGCTGACATCTCTCAGTGGATGTCTGCTCATCACCTCAAGCTCAACCTTGACAAGACTGAGCTGCTTTTCCTTCCGGGAAAAGATTGTCCCACTCTTGACCTAACAATCAACATCGGCACCTCAGTTGTTTCCCCGACTCAGACTGCAAGGAATCTGGGTGTGACCCTAGATAACAACCTGTCCTTCACTGCAAACATCGCTGCCACAACCCGTTGCTGCAGATACACGCTTTACAACATCAGGAAGATACGTCCCCAGCTGACTCAGAAAGCGACTCAGGTTCTGGTCCAGGCTCTCGTCATCTCACGCCTAGACTACTGCAACTCCCTCCTGGCTGGTCTACCTGCATGTGCCATCCGACCTCTGCAGCTCATCCAGAATGCAGCGGCTCGTCTGGTCTTCAACCTTCCTAAATGTTCCCACACCACTCCGCTCCTCCGCTCCCTTCACTGGCTTCCGGTAACTGCTAGAATCCACTTCAAGACACTGGTACTTGCTTACCATGCTGCGAATGGATCTGGCCCTTCCTACATCCAGGACATGGATAAACCGTACACCCCAGCACGTGCACTACGCTCTGCATCAGCCAAACGGCTCGTTGCGCCCTCGCTGCGAGGGGGACCCAAGTTCCCATCGGCGAAAACACGTGGGTTTGCTGTCCTGGCTCCAAGATGGTGGAATGAGCTCCCCATTGACATCAGGACAGCAGATAGCTTGCACATTTTCCGGCGCAAACTGAAAACTCATCTCTTTCGACTCCACTTCGAGCGTTAGAACTATTAACGAAGCACTTTTATACTAATAAAGGACTGGCTTACCTAAAGCCAGTTGAGTAGCACTTGAAATGTTTGGCTCTATGAAACCTGATGTACTTATATGATTCTGTTTTCTTCAAGGTTGTGTCTTCCTGGTCGAATGTACTTATTGTAAGTCGCTTTGGATAAAAGCGTCAGCTAAATGCAATGTAATGTAATTAAATCTTAAGAAGCCCTCAGACACTGTTGCTTGCAGATGTTGTGGTTTCGGTCCCTTCGGCGGGTCCGTGGGGCTTAAGAGGTTTTAAGTTAGGATTGTTCTTGTGTCTGAAATCTTTGTTTGAAGCTCACTATAAAGTCTTTAGAAGTTTCATTAGAGTCAGTCAAGTTTAATCTAGTATCCATTAAAGAGGTAGATAAATGTGGTATTACTTGTTGTACCTTTATACTTTTAACTGCTCTTTGATTAAATTATAACAGAGATGATTTAAAAATCTGATAGCAGTTTTATCAGCAAGTTTATTTATGTTTGTATGTGTTTTTATTTCTGAATGAGGCATGAGCGTGACGGTGCTGCTGTCTCAGAGCTTAGGTTCTCTCATTATGATTCACACAGTGGCGGTTTTACGGGGTGGCAGCTGCCACCTCAGAAAAATGCCTTGCCACCCCAGCTGCCACCCCAGTTGGCAGCTTTGTTTTGAAAGAAAAGTTGTGGCTCATCGGACATTTATGAGAGAAAATCTCTAATGGCCGAGTGCAAGTGAATGCAGCACAAGACGGGAGCCTTGTAACCCCTCCCCCCCTGGCGCGGTTTTGACCCCACGGTTTGATGATTGATAGGTGTGTGGGCTGTCTTTCATTTTGACACACAGAACAATGGGGGCTATCCACCCTTATCCACAATGTAAAGTCATTCACAGCCTCTTCCCTCTTCTCTCTGTGAGGAGCAGCAGGTTCAGCTTTCAGAACAAAGTAACACAAAACTAAATTGGCATTCATTTTTTTAAATATGTGGTGTAGTAATAGATTTATTTATTTTCTTCTCAAGAGAGTACCAGAATGTGTATTTTATGTTAGTATTTCAAAAGATCTCCTGGGGAGAATCCCCCCAGACCCCCTGCAGGGGTTGGGTTTTCAGCATGTGAACTCTTTCACCTGTGGGGAAGTTGCAGGATTGGCTCCAGGTCGCCCTTTTTATTTACTACAAGACAAATGTGCCTTTTTATTTCATACAGTTCCATATTGATTGAGACAGGGAAATAATCTAAACCTCACGAGTGGCGTTTCACTGTCAAGGGGAGCGTGCGTAATTACATTGCAAATACTGACTTGAGCCCCACCACTGTATGGGTTAGCCCTACCATAGATTACCCAACACAAATACTCTGGAGCCACTGTTTGCGGTCTACAATGACAGAAGAGCCTGTCAAGTTTGGCTGTACTCAGCATTGAATCAAAATGCACCATAGCTTTAAATCTTAATAAGTCTGTGAGGCGTTTTGCTGAACAACATGGTAATCGCCACATTCAGCTGTTATAGGCAACTTGATGCTCTGCTCACGGATGACTCGATGAGCTTAAACAACAGTTAAGATGATGACCTTGTATGTGTGTATAATATTTTTCTTCTTTGTGGGGGTCTGCCCCCAAAAACTGTTTCAAGTCCTGAGAAAGTCAAATCTGACGGTGTGTAAAACTTCACTGCCCAGCCAAAAGAAAGTAACCACTTTGATTGAACTAGGCCAGTAGGTAAGGACTCTCCACTGGATCATAACTGCAGCGATGTTTTAGCTGAACACACGTTGTTTAACCCTAACTGAGGCAGTTAGTCGCTTCTTTAATGTCTGTTCTTTCTGAAGTAAAGCCCAGGTTGTAACTGTTTGCAGTAAAGTCGTGGGGCGCTGAACTGTTCCTTTGAATCTTTTGAGTTTTGATACATGATATAATTACTTGTCTTTCAAATTTGAAGGAGGGTGAGCAAGCATCTTGAGGAACATTCATCATTAACTCCTCCAAAAAATATAGTTTATTCAACAATGAATGAATATATGAATCATAACAGTGATTGACAGCTGATAGGAATAATATGATTGTTAATATTATCATATTCATTCAGACAAACATCCATGAGACAGTTAATTAATGGACTTATTGCAGCAGTCTGCATAGATTTGGTTCCCCTGCTGGTCTAAGAGTGAAACAAACTCATTCAGTTATTGTTCAGTTAAAATTCATTAAATGATGTCTGCCACCTTATATATTTATATTTAAGGCTTTACTGATGTGCCACAATAATGTCACCCATATATGTTATTGAGTTAAAATATTAATATTGTGGCTTTCCAAGTTAACATTGATTGATATGACTGAGATTAAATCAGCATATACTTCTGCCAGGGGATGCCACCCCTCAAATTCTCCTGCCACCCCATGAATATTTGTCTAGATCCGCCCCTGGATTCACATCATCTCATTATTCTCAGTCATTCTTTAAATAATGACTGAACTGGGAAATGTAATTCATCCACATCATGTTCAGAAGTGAAGGACTATTGTCTCTTTCTGAAACACTGCCCACAATCAGATGTTATTCATTTTTGTATTTCTTAAGAAATCCACATTATATCATAAAATATACATGATCTGTCCGACTGACCTGATCTGTGAGATATGAGGCAGACACTGCAGCAAAGTCCTCACTTCACTCTCTTCCTCTGAGCAGCCTCTCAGCTCCACTTGTTTCTTCTCTGGTTGGAGTCTCAGCACTTCCAGCAGGATGGAGCTCTTTCTCTTTGAGAGGTCTATGATCCAGACTTCAGGAGCTGACTGGAGAACTGACTGTAATGATGGAAGGACACTCAGACCTGATTTAGTCTCACAGTCCTTCAGGTGGGAGTACAGATCCAGCAGGAAATCACACTGAGGGTCTCTCTTAAAATAATAAGAAACAATGTCGGTTAAAGCTGTTGTTTGATATGTGCACACTGATAACAGCAGCTGCAGTAGCTTCTCTCCTGTCTGCTGCTCTCTCTCTGCTGCTGCACAGAACAGAGTCCCAAAGAACCGGAGTTCACCTGAAGGTTCTGATAACTGAGGCACAAAACTGAAAACATAAGGAAACAAGAGATTGTGATGTTAGGTTTCTATCGAATACAAACTTTTCTGCATCAGCTGTGGTTTAAATTATGTTAAATTGAATCTGCATGCACCAAGATTCAAAATAAATGAAGCAGCTTATTTTGAAAAAGATTACAATTTACCTGAGCTGTGAGATATGAGGCAGACACTGCAGCAAAGTCCTCACTTCACTCTCTTCCTCTGAGCAGCCTCTCAGCTCCACTTGTTTCTTCTCTGGTTGGAGTCTCAGCACTTCCAGCAGGATGGAGCTCTTTCTCTCTGAGAGGTCTATGATCCAGACTGCAGGAGCTGACTGGAAAAATGGCTTCAGTTTTTCAATGACAACTGAACTCTCTTGAGTTTTGACATGTTGATAAAAATCCAGAAGGATGTTATGCACATCAGTGTTAAAAGAAAACAGAGAGATGAGGTCGTTCACTTCATTGTGAACGCTTTCTCCTTGAATGTGATTGGCTGCTCTCAGACATAAATCCAGAAACAGCTGCTTTTCTTGTCTCTTCAGTGTCTCATAGCATCGCTCCTGGTCCTGTAATCCTGGACCTCTGTAGGTCCTCCTGAAGCTGCATGATGACAAACACATATGTCATTGCATGTACTTTAGAACTAAACTTTACATGTAAAACAAAGTTACAGCTGTTAATACTGTCCTAATGAGAGTACATTTCTGGATGTCAACATAAGAGATCAAAGTTCAGATTCAACTGAAACAAAGAGCCCTGCCTGTTTCTAAAAAAATACTGATGATTCAAACGATGTTTATTGTCTATTTATAGTTTTTATGAATGCTGACTAATAAGTGTTAAAAAGAAATGGTGAAAAAAACATCAGCATTTAAATTGCTGCATTGAATAATATATAAGACATATATTAAACCTGACCTCATTTCTGCTGTGATGAGGCCGAGTATAACCTTCATGCTGATCCACAAATGAATGAGGCATGCTTGAGCTCACAGCTGCAATGCCGATTTGAAAATATCAGGTCTCTCTCTGCTCCGTATCAGCTGATCGCTGCACATCAGCATCTCTTTCTCTCTCGGTACACTCACTGCTGCTCGTTAAACGCCCGTCATCTTTATCGTAATGAAACCTATTAAAATGTTTAGATCGCATGTTGTTTGACCACCATTTCCGCTATTTTACTAAAGGTTCATAAAACCATTTTTTCTGTTAACTTGGCATGTGAATTGTTTTTACCCTCAAAGAACCGAAATCCAGAACCGAAATCTGAACCGGAATCTCTAGAATCCAAACGATTCCCAACTCTAAGTATTACACAGTTTTAATAATTCCACTGTGAAGGTGAATCGTCACTTTATTATGCATTTAGTTTTGTCAAAAACGAAGTTGCAGTTTTATAAATGATAATGTTTAAATAAATTCCAGTGAAGTTTGGAAGCTAAAGATGTGTACGTGGTTCGTAGGGGGGGTGCATCCCACCACACAGAAACATAAGCTTCATACCTGAGTGAGCTGACGTATGGCAGAGCCTCTAGCAGAGTCTCACACAGACTGTGGCAGTCAGGCTTCTCCCTCTCCCAGTGGAGGCAGATTTTAACCTTCTTACTTATCTTCTGCAGGACTGTCACTGCTCTTTCAAACAGCTTTCTGCCCCCCTCCACTGGAAGGTGCAACTGATTTCCATCAAGGCCAAGCAAGGTGATGTAGTCCATCTCCCCTTCGCTGAGAAGGAAGATCTCCCACAGCTGCAGTGGCAGAGAATCACACCTGCAATATGAAGAATAATCATCGTTTCCTCATTACTTCTGTTTATATATTAAAGGTTACAACCATGAACAATTAAATTCGACCTAATTAGATGTGTTGTAACGTTAGCAGTAATAATAACTGCTCATCCATACCATTGGACATTTGGAAGGCATCCTAATAGTGGTCTCATTCCTTGTTGTGACATCGTGACGTCCTCAAGGTTCAGCCATATTTTCCTCTCCTTAGACTGAGTGATCACATAGGCCACAGCACAGCAGGGGTAAGGATCGAGACTCTCTTCACTGAGATCAAGATGGAAGTCCAGTTGTTCCAGAAGGTCGATGCATGCTTCAGGACACTGGGACTCATACAAGCACTGGCATAGGAACAGTATGCGCCCACTGTCCTCAGTATCAGGATCATCGTTTCCACACAGGCTAGGAAGGAATGTGGATATCACTTTCTTGAAGAACCAGTTTGATGTATTCTTGAGCTCCTCAGCAGGAATCAGATACTCCATCAAACTAGGGCTCTTCTCAGTCAACAATCTACACATGTAAGGGATCAGATGTTTCATGTGTTTCTTCTCCTCAGTGAGGCACTGCTGAAAAACATTACTGATTAAATCTGGATTCTTCAAGAGCCAGAGTGCTGCAAAAAACTCCTGCATTGTGTAATGGAGAAATGCATAGGTGGTTATTCTCTCAGTAGGGGCGACTTTGATAACAAGTTGTTTGAGCAAGGAGAGGACACAGCTGTCTCTAAAGGGACGTAGTGTCAAGTTCACCGTTTTTCCTTCAGTTGCACGAAAAGCAACCTCAGCCAAAGACAGTATCTCCTGACTCTTGCTTTCGATGAAGGCATCTAGATGAATGTATTTTGTGTTGCTGTTTCTTTCAAGGCAAAAACGGAAAATGTTGATGTAGATATCAGTTATGCAGCAAGGCTTTTGAAAGTCCTCTGATGTCTCAAATGTAAAGCATGCAGCCACCATCAGTGCGTACATCGGTACATGGCAAAGCGTAAACAACTCCAAGTTGCTCAACACCCTCTCCTTTCGTTCACGTAGCATCCTAGATATGAATGTTTTTATGGTCTGCTCACTAAAGCCTTTCACTTCCACTCTGAGAAAGTCTTCGGACAGAAGGTGGTCTTCATCAGCTGGTCTGCAAGTCACAACGACCTTGGAGTCCTTTAGCAAATCTTTCTTTACAAGTTTCTGCACTACTGGTAAAGACAGATCTGTGATTCCATCAAAAATGAGTGTAACATTGTCAGAGTTATTCTTTATGTCCTGTAAGACCTCGTCGTTGCCTTCATCTGGCTCACTGAACTCATTGAAAAGAAGGTCCTCCAGGCTCTTGATGTTGGATATTTTTCTCATGTCAAAGTAAAACATGTAGTTTAGCTCCTTGTCATCTTTTTCTGTCCAGAGTTTTAACATTTCATGAGTGAGTGCTGTCTTTCCAATCCCAGACTTACCAACCAAGAGTATGTTTTTATCTGTTTTAAGCAGGTCACTGGGAGAACTGTCTGCTTTGTCCTTAGGGATGTAGGTCCCTAGCTTTTTACAACGGCTCATCCTGCTTTTCTTGTTCTTACATTTCTTTATTTTAGAGGGAGAAACACTTCCTTGTGTGTCCAATACAAGTGACATGTACGACAGATCAGGCTTGCTGTTTTCTTCAAACAGATCTTTGTTTGCCGTCCAAAACTCTTTTGATATTTTTTGTGCTTTTGACTTCAACTTTGCCTGGTAACGGTGGCACGGTGTTGGGGCTAAAATAAAAACAACAGTGAGTAAGTAAATATTGTAAATTACATGATGTAGCCTCATACTAAACAGTGGATGAATATCTCCAGAGGACACAGCCCATCGAACATCAGCATGAAGACGTGACACACTTTCTGTAATAGTTATATTAAACATACCTTGTAGGTAGTTGTTTCCCACTTGTGTGTCTTCCTTGAAAGGGAAGCAGCTGATCCAGTGGTGCAGGTCAAACATCTGTTTCTCAGGGAGAAGAGATGTCCTCCCATGGGTCCTCTTCCTCGTTATGTCAATAATTTTGAGGAATTCATAGCTGGCTGCTTCCCCCTTTTTGGTTACAGAGTCTAGAAGATTTCTGTTTTTATCATAGTCATTCCCTTCTGCTTGTATTCTGCTGACCTCTTCATCGCGTAACACTCCTTGCTGTTTCAAGTTCTCTAGAATCACTGACAGATTCTTTAATGTTTTCACAAGGTGGGTTCTGGCCCCCCTGACGTACTCTAAAGCTGACTGTGTTGTAGAAGCCATGTTTCAGTACTTCGGTGTCTTCTGCTTCAACTTCAATGATCTAGAGAACAAAAGAATGGTTTAATGAAATGTAATATGAACTCTTATGCATCCAAAAAAAGTACAGATATATTTAGATCTAAAAGGAATACAAATAAATTCAGGGCAGATAAGAACAGCAGGGGGGAGGATTTGGCGTCATTAGGCACTTTCCCACCAAGTACTTAGTTCCCAGTACTTATATCATCAGAACTCTTTAGTTCAGATCGCGTTCACACCGGAATAAGTCCCTGAGGGAGGATTAGGCAAATTGAGCCGCTGACGTCACTTCTTCTTCTTCTGCTTTGGGTTTACTGGCAGGCCGCAAACAACTTCACGGCGTATACTGCCGCCCGAAGTCCCCGGCCGCCCGAAGTCCCCGGCCGCCCGAAGTCCCCGAAGTGCCGGCCGCCCGAAGTGCCCGGCCACCCGAAGTGCCCGGCCGCCCAAAGTGCCCGGCCGCCCAAAGTGCCCGGCCGCCCAAAGTGCCCGGCCGCCCAAAGTGCCCGGCCGCCCAAAGTGCCCGGAGTTGGGGACTGGCTTCAGTAGAAGCTGCTGGGACTCCCAGCAGCTTCTACTGAAGCCAATCATAAATGGGAACCTTTCTCTCCCAGGAAAGTCCCTGCTCTCTAGCAGGGACTAAAAAGGGGATGAAAAGGTTCTCATGAACTAAGTTCTAGTTCCGGATTTTTTTGGTGTGAACGCAACATTTCAAGAACTATCGGAACTATACTGGGAAAAGTACTCCGATCGTGAAAGCGCCCAATGATACAGTTTTTTCTCATTGGCTCACTTCTTTAAACAGTCTTGACCTTCTCTTAACTCTATGTGCAATGGTTACAACTTTTTCATCACACATCTTTTGCACGTATGAACATTAAGTTAACTCAGACAAAACATTGAATTCATGCCAACAAGTTGTTATTGTGTCAGTAAATGTGCGAATACAAACAAAATGGATAGCTGTTTTGTCCCAGTGTGAACACGAACAGTACTAGTCAAAACAGTAAGATGCTTTTTCATTACCAGTCAACACTTGAAATGTTCTAACATACAAGTCTCTGAACATATAAATCATCCATACATGTCACAAACAATACAACATTAAACGACACCACATTGTAAATAGAAACATGCAAGCTGTATATCAGAGACACTGAGGCCTTTAGGTCCACACTGATGAATACTTTGTTGTCATATATTTCATTAGCCTACGTTTTTTAGCTTTTACGGTTCTTTTTTGTATTAATATTGTAATTTGGTGTAAATGCTTGCTAACGAAAAAGCTATGTTTCTAAGTGTAGCCGGCGCTACTGTTTTCTGAGGATTAGCTGTCAGATCATTTCTTCACGTGGCTGGGCCGCCACTGGCACTTTAAGACACCCCCCCCCCCTTCTTTAGTCAGCTGGCCCTTCCATATAAGGAAAACGCGCAGCTGTATGTAGTTCAGCATCTCCCGCTACACTTAAATGCCCACTCACTCCTCACCCAAATCAGCTGTGACTATTACGAGTGTTCTTGTTCCAGTTATCGTTGTCTAGCTGATAGGCGTGTATTCCCCCTATACGAGGTATGTGAAGCTGCTGTTAGGATTTGTAACATTCAGTGTAGGCCTACCACTGAATTGTTAACATGTGGCCTGTAAATGCCAGGCTTCTTGACAGCCCCAGCAGAGACTGTGCAGAGAATCACCGTTGCAGAGGTGTCCAGTGAGGTGATCATTGAGTGAATGCGTTTGCATCAGAGGTAGGAGATTAATTGTATGTACACTGAAGGACATTCATATAAGTCTTTATACAATTTCTAATCTCCTTTCTCCATTTATTTTAGGATTAGTTTGCTACCGTTTTGCCTACCTTCTATGTTTTGCTTATTGACTAGTTTGTTGTATTGTGTACAAACTAGTGATTTAATCTTTAAAGCGACAGCACCCTCATTGTAACGACCCACTCTGTCCCACAAGGTCTAATACTGTCTCTGTGCTTATACTTCTTCAGTGACGATCCTGGCCATACTGTGGAGTGGAGCATGTGGTTTGCTGGGCACTTTTTGCATGCAGATATGGTTGATTTGTAGTGAGTGTTTGATTGAATACAGCTACACATGGTGATATTGTGGTTTTGGGGAAACCCTCAGCAGTTGGCCAGAAGAATCACTTTTTAACTATCATTATGTGTGTCGACTGAGAAAGCTGAATAAGTTTTAATCTGCATTTTGTACTACTGAACTTTTACTTGATTATTTATATAATAAACATTTGAACTTGAGGCCGCGTCCCTGCCCATCCTTTTATTCTTATCTGCGTGACTTGTCCTAAGGGCTCGTATTGGGGAACCCAGGTTAGCGTTAAGTATCCTAACCCCCTTTTATTATCGCAGCCCCCCCCCCCTCCCCGGTGGGGCAGGTCACATAAGCTAAATTGTGCAAGCATCAAGAGGGTTTTAACCGTTAAGGAAAACCAGCTGTCTGTTACAAGTACAAACTACTATGCTTACTTTAACGTTTATTATCAGTAAAGCTCAAATACAACGTACACATTTACAAATAAGAGTTCATAAGTAGTATAATTTCCTCTTTAAATAAATAGGTAACTGTTAGCTTGGCAGTTTGTAAATCCAGGAGTGACGTCATTAGAACCGTTAACTTTATGCTATATTGCTTAAAGCTAGTTAGCTAATTTATTACATCAAAACAACACATTCTGAAAATACTTACGTTACATATTATATTTTTGTTGTTCATTAGCCTACATTTATTAGCTTACGGTTCTTTTTTATGTTAACATTTAAATTGGGTGTAGACGCTTGCTAACGAAAAAGCTATGTTACTTAACTAAATTGTGAAATCGTCAAGAGGGTTTTAACCGTTAAGGAAAACCGTTAGCCGTTAGCCGATCAAGGGGTGAAACCCGCCGCTGCTGCGTCTGTAAAGCCGGTGTGTCCTTGGGCAAGACACTTCACCTGAACTTGCTCCTGTGGGTATTGTCCACAGTATCTGACCATTGCATGTATGATATATGTGTAATGTGTGTATATGTAAAGCGCTTTGAGTCATTGAAAAAGCGCTATAATAAATGTAAGGAATTATTATTATTATTAGCTGTCTGTTACAAGTACAAACTATTATGTTTACTTTAACGCAGGGGTACTCAAATACAAATCTTAAAGGTCCAAAATAAATGTTTCAATAAGACAAAGGTCCGTTTATTACGGTCATTCAAACTTTTAAACAATTGCAACAAGATTCTTAACACGAGGTTGCAAAAACAAAAATAATCTGTATGCAGCAGTTTTCATTGTTATTGTGTCTGTGCTTGACCCCTCAGAGTCGCAGAGCTGCACAGTTATGAATAAAGGCAGCTGCACCCTCTTTCATTCAGCGTTCCCATTATTGCTTTATAAATGTATTCCCCCTTGTGTGTCCACTGAGGTTCGTCAGGCCCAACACATCTTCAACAAACTCTCCCTTTGCCTCATCATGAAAACTCACAAACACCAGCAACTGAGCATTGTCAGTGGACTCACCCACAGCTAAGGAAATGCACTGACTTCAAACAGTTTTTTGGGGGCAGACCCCCTCAAAGAAAACAATATATTTACACACGTAAGGTCATCATCTTAATAGTTGTGTATGCTCATCTGTGAGCAGAGCATCACGTTGACATGTCTATTACAGCTGAATGCGGCGATTACCATCTTGTTCAGCAAAACGCCTCACAAACGTATTAAGATCAACAGCTTTAGTGCGTTTTGATTCAATGCTGAGTACAGCCACACTGACAGTCTCTTCTCTGTCAGTGTAGACCGCAAATACCTCATTCCTTCAGCGCTTGAGTCTGAATGCTTCTCGTTTTGCGCCGTCCAGTTCAAAATGAAATCGCCGCCAATCGTATGTCCACGCTCGCGCCAGGACCGGGGGAGGGGTTACATGACGTGCATCTTGTGCTGCATTCACTTGCACTCGGACATTAGAGACTTTCTCTCATAAATGTCCGATGAGCCACAACTTTTCTTTCAAAACAAAGCTGCCAACTGGGGTGACAGCTGGGGTGGCAAGGCCTATTTTTAGAGTGTCAGTTGCCACCCCGGTAGGTGAAACTAGGCTACTAGCTACAGTACAGATGGAACTAGATGAGCTGTTAACTCTCGCTCTGAATTTTTTTTTTAAATTCTCGCTCTGACTCAGACAGGTTGAACGAGACACACACATTTTTCCCACCCGCATTCCGCGAAGACCCGCCCTACTGTGCCTCTGATTCGCAGATTGTTTGGGGGGAAAAAACGCTGACTGGATGCTGAATGTGATTGGACCAAAGCGTTGACACACACAGGTGGAACACAGTGGAACAGTCAGACTTGCAGAGCGCTGTTTGCAGTGGACATAGCGGAGAATTTTGACTCGTTGCGAATGCGTTGTGGCGATGTCTCACATATAATACAGAGAGATAATACATATGAAAAGTATAATTTGCTCGGAGTCCGGAGACAGTGGTGGTTCGGTCCGGATCCGGACCGGAGTCCGTAGTTTGAGGATGCCTGCTTTAACGTGTATTACTCTTAAACGTCACAAGGTAGCCAACACATTTACAACTATGAGTTTATTAGTAATATAATTTCCTCCTTAAATAAATAGGAAACTGTTAGCTTGGCAGTTTGTAAATCCATCAAACAATCCACTAACTCTGTTAAATCCTCAATCACATACTCCGCTAGCTCTCTCCTAGCATTCCCAGTCTCTCTCTAGGGACCTCCCTCCTCCATACCCAACCAACCAACCAGACAACACTCTCCCACCCAAACCCACAGCTACAGGTCACAAGAACCGTCCATCAAAACAGTGGCACGTTCACTGACACTCTTGTAAGATTCAAACAAACTCTGAACAACAAACACATCAACATTATAACCAGTCCGTTACAATATATTATATGTTTCTGATCAACTTTGAGCATAGTTGGGAAAATAATAATAACTGTAAAGGCAACCGAACAACACATATTTGCCAGTGAGGGATATGGTGTGAAGCTTTTCCAGACGCGTGGTGTTGACAGCAAATCAGGTCTTCTCTTTGAGTGCATTTAAGATGTTTATTTGGATTGCAGGATGATGACAGCAAAACAAGAGCCGGGTGTTTAACTGATAACTAAACAACTAACTGTGATAAAGACATAAACCGAAATTAACTCCAAACAAACAGAAAACACGCACGGTTGAAAAACTTCCCTCTGGTGATTCCCAATCCCTAATGCTGTGCACTTGTGTCCTCCCCAAATAGTAGGCTGTACCCTGACATTGGCTGAGTCCCCGCCTATGCCCAGGTCAATTCAGTAGTATCACAGCACCTTCATATACAAATATTAAAATACATCAAATTGGCTGCAACAATAACTAAAACACACTTAAATCTTAAAACGTGTGGATTTGAAGAGCTACCAACTGAAGTAATACAAGTTGAAAACGATCATCCACAGGTTTTGTCTTTAAATTAATGATTCCTTGTGCGATGATATCGGGAACACAAGAGTAGGCCTGTATGCTCTGTTCTATGAACAGTGGCGGCCGCGGCGCCAGAGTATTTGTGTTGGGTAATCTATGGTAGGGCTAACCCAATGGTGGGGCTCAAGTCAGTATTTGCAATGTAATTACATTCACGCTATATCGCCCCCCTTGACAGTGAAACGCCACTCGTGAGGTTTAGATTATTTCTCTGTCTCAATCAATATGGAACTGTATGAAATAAAAAGGCACATTTGTCTTGTAGTAAATAAAAAGGGCGACTTGGAGCCAATCCTGCAACTTCCCCACAGGTGAAAGAGTTGACATGCTGAAAACCCAACCCCTGCAGGGGGTCTGGGGGGATTCTCCCGCAGGAGATCTTTTGAAATACTAACATAAAATACACATTCTGGTACTCTCTTGAGAAGAGAAATAAATACATCTATTACTACACAACATATTTTAAAAAAATGAATGCCATTTTAGTTGTTACTTTGTTCTGAAAGCTGAACCTGCTGCTCCTCACAGAGAGAAGAGGGAAGAGGCTGTGAATGACTTTACATTGTGGATAAGGGTGGATAGCCCCCATTGTTCTGTGTGTCAAAATGAAAGACAGCCCACACACCTATCAATCATCAAACCGTGGGGTCTTATTTCATTACGTCTTCTATCAACACGTAATGTTGTATCGATGTATATAGAGATGTACTACAGCAAAGTATTCTTTTTATTAACACGTAATGTTGTATCGATGTATATAGAGATGTACTACAGCAAAAGTATTCTCCGTCGGGACTTCCTGCAACAACACCACGCCGTTATCTTGATTCTGATTGGCCAGAAGACATTATCAAAGATGTTCTATTGCGAAGACGATCACTACTTGACAAAAGTTTTCAAACCCGTTTCTAGTCTTCAGTATTTCCAGACAAGTGGCTGAAATCAATCTGACTAACTGCTGTCGGTGCAATTTACTCCGCGAGTTGGCAGACTTTATTTAGCTTACTTTAACATCATTTTTCATGGTGGGGCTAAGCCATTTCTTGGTATGGCTGTAGCCAGTGGCGACTGGTCATTAGGGGCAGGTGTGGCACAGCTCCACCTAGTGTCAGCAGAAAGTATTAAAAGTAATGATTACAAAAAAATGCAAAAAATAAATTAAAAAATATATAAAATATATTTTAAGATCATGTTTAATCATCTGATTCGTCTCATTGCTGTTTTAGTCTGTGTTCTTCTAATTAGTGTCTACAGTGTGTGCCTATTGAGCTGTTTAGAGCCATGTGGGACAAAACCCGATCCTGCCCCTCCCTCTCCCTGTTTAAGTCAATGGTGACTGTAAAAACTACACTGCGCATGCTCAGAGTATTGTCCTATTTAATGTGTGTGGCAAAAAAATAATGACCATAGGGGGATAGTGCTGCCATCCCCACCATACGTCATCTCACATAATTCAGAGCTGATTGGCTGTAAGTATGTGTGCCGCGAAAAGTGTGGTGTGTGAAGAGGAGACGAGAGACGCGTCCTAAAACCAGGAAGTAAGCTGCGCATGGCTTCCCTCCACAAAAAAGCAATGAGATTTCTCCATAGGATTTTAGAAAATAGCTCCAAATAAGATCTGTGGGAAACGTAGCTGTTAGATAAATGCACGTTTTGTTGAGCCGGATAATATCCACATGTCTACCCTACTTTTATAATTTTCGAATCATAAATCTATTGATTAGATCAGATTTATGATAGACTTTTGAAACTACAAGAACATAAGGAGGACTTTTACAAAAAAGTAATAGAGATTTTTGTCCAGAAGGATAGGCAAATGGACTTCATCTTCAAGTCAAGGTAAGACTGCAATTTGATTGAAAATGGGATCTTACTAAGAGAGAACAATTCAATATTTAAATGATACAATTACATTTTTTGGGTATCTTTTGTTGAACTGTCTGTTTAAAATTAATTGAAGCATCAGACAAAAAAAGCTTTTGAAAATAATATTATATTTTGATTTAGGTCAAAATATAATATTTGTAAACCTGAAGAGTCAGTGCCAGTGCCTCACCAGCCATGAACCTCACTGCACGTCACTGCAGAAGCTTATAGACATCTAAGTTTTTTGTGCCCCACCACTTTTGTACATATAAAAACGCCACTGGCTGTAGCCTACCCCAGCCATACCCTGGCGCAGCCACTGTCTATGAATGATAGATAAACACTGTTTGTTCTGTTTTTCTTTATTAAACTTACCTGTGTGGCACAGTGAGAGCTTCAGTGATTTCTCTCTGAGGAAAGATGTCGAAGTTTTTCATGATTCCAACGGTATACAGCCTCGTGCTCAAATGTCTGAAATCTTTCCTGGTTTGCATTACTTTCACTTTTGATGTAACGCACATCCTGTATGCACATTAACTCTGAATGCTCGTAGCGTCCTCTAATATCCACAAGATGCCACTATTTGACCTGAAAACAATCAAGTTGTTGAGCTGATATTTTAAAAGTAGAAGTACTCAGATCTTGTACTTGAGTAAAAATAGAAGTACTCAAATCTTGTACTTGAGTAAAAGTAGAAGTACTCAGGTCTTGTACTTGAGTAAAAGTAGAAGTAGGCCTACTCAGATCTTGTACTTGAGTAAAAGTAGAAGTACTCAGGTCTTGTACTTGAGTAAAAGTAGAAGTACCAGAGTGTAGGAATACTCTGTTACAGTAAAAGTCCTGCATTCAAAATGTTCCTCAAGTAAAAGTAGAAAAGTATTCTCATCAAAATATATTTAAAGTAGCGACAGTAAAAGTAGTCATTGTGCAGATTGGAACCATGTAAACACTTGAGTAAAGTACAAGTACCTCTAAATTGTATATGTAGATAGTGTTCCCATATTTCAGCAGAAAGCAGCTTTTCTTCCACAGAAGACAAACATCTGTAATCAAGGCCGAGTCAGGCGAGAAGATTGTAAAGTATTTATTTGTACAAAAGAATCCCCAGAATGCTCAGAAAATTGCAAGAGAAATAGCTAGAAGAGTTGAAGCATTGAGAAACAGAAACAGTGCTGTTAGTCTGTGAATGGAAGCTCTCACACAACGAGCCCAACAGACGCACGAAGTAAACAACATTTCAGGATGTTTACACAAACAAACAGCCATTTAAAAATGCTTTCAATAAAAAAAAAGATCAGTAAAGTCTGCAGCGTCTGCAATAATAGAAACAGAAATAAATACGCACAGATGTTAAAAATGAGTTTTTCTAATAAATGAGACACATGAGAGTCTGGTGGCGGCAGAGAGGCTGCTGTTAAATCCAAGTTTTACATCAAGTAGCCGAAACAAAGGAAATAAAACATGGGAATGAATGGGAGGAGAATGCTTTAGAAGTAGTGGAATCACTTTCTAATAAGACACCCTTTATACAGTTTCTAAATTATAAATATGAATGGATGTTTCTTCAGGGTTTTGCTGCATGAACGGCTGCAGAGATATTTCTTTCTGTTTAGGATTGGTCTTCTATGGTTTTAGATCAATTGGCTTTTACAGAAATGTCTTTTTACCAAAATCCAGACCTGGTTACTCAAAATAATCCAGTCTTCTGTCTATATTTCTTTTAAAACCCCTTAATTATCTTAATTGATATTTTTTTTTCCAACTGCAAAAAACTGTCTCTCTCTCCTTTTCAAACTTATATTGCACATTGTTATTGTAATGGTTTTTATATAATTTATTGTCATTTTTTATGATATTTCTTGACTTTAATTCCTTTATTTGTCCTTTTTAATATGATCATTGTATGCAAACACCACGGTAAATTCCTTGTTTGCAATACATGTTATAAATCTGATAAACATTTACAGATGTTAACATGTGTTAGCTCATGAATCCCTCATTAAACAAATGATAATCATGTTTAGCTTCAGACTTACGTTTAAACGTTTATTACTTATTATTTAGCGCTTCCTTTATGCCCTTTCTGATGGAGTCAGATAAGAAAACTCTCCCTTTATTCCCTTTTTTTATTATTATTTAATTGGCAGACGTTAGTGGTAATGATGTTCTCATGTTCTCATGTAGTTAAGAAAGAAGAACAATTTAGAAACTGTTTTTAAAGGGTGACTTTTTAGCAAATGGTTCAAATAACTGTGAAGAAAATGTGCGTTTTTGTGTCTCACTCGGATTTAAAATTGAGATTTTTTTTGGTTTCTTCTCGGTATTTAAATGCAGAATTTGGATCCGCAGCTCGACTCACACCAAACAGACCAGAAGACGTAAGAGTGATAATAAAAAAACAGCCTAGAAATAACAACAAACGGGTATATTTCTCTCTAAAAAAAGATTTTCATTCAAAAGGTAAGCGATTTTTATTATAAATATAACAATTTCGTCCAAACCTATTCAACTTTTTATTATAAAAAAATCATTCTTTGGGTTCCCAACAACCAGCTGAGACGAGGAGAAGACATCTGCATAGGTTTGCACAGCTGCTTTCAACACACACACACACACACACACACACACACACACACACACACACACACACACACACACACACACACACACACACACACACACACACACACACACACACACACACACACACACACACACACACGTCGCCTAACACGGAAGCCCGGCAGCTTGAACTCAAAGTGCAGTGAAGAGTTGAGCGATGAGAATGGAGGTAGACCTTTTTCTGTCAGTCGAACCAAAACAGACGTGGAGCTGCAGAGGAAGTCCAGCTTTACATCAGGGACGTGCACAGAAGATTATTTTATTCTAAGGTGGTACCCAGGAAGCTGTACCTGTAAAATATAGTGATTTAACTGACCACAAATCCAGAATCAGAAGAAGGTTTTTTACAGAGGGGGGAAGTAGTGGAGTACAAATGCTTCGTTACTGTACTCAAGTGCATTCTTCTGGTATCAGTACTTTACTCCACTACTTACTTTTCTGACGACTTTTTACTTTCTACTTCTTACATGTTGAACCCAAATACCTGTACTTTCTACTTCTCACATGTTGAACCCAAATACCTGTACTTTCTACTTCTTACATGTTGAACCCAAATACCTGTACTTTCTACTTCTTACATGTTGAACTCAAATACCTGTACTTTCTACTTCTTACATGTTGAACCCAAATACCTGTACTTTCTACTTCTTACATGTTGAACCCAAATACCTGTACTTTCTACTTCTTACATGGTGAACTCAAATACCTGTACTTTCTACTTCTTACATGTTGAACCCAAATACCTGTACTTTCTACTTCTTACATGTTGAACCTCAAATACCTGTACTTTCTACTTCTACATGTTGAACTCAAATACCTGTACTTTCTACTTCTACATGTTGAACCCAAATACCTGTACTTTCTACTTCTTACATGTTGAACACAAATACCTGTACTTTCTACTTCTTACATGTTGAACTCAAATACCTGTACTTTTCTACTTCTTACATGTTGAACCCAAATACCTGTACTTTCTACTTCTTACATGTTGAACTTCAAATACCTGTACTTTCTACTTCTTACATGTTGAACTCAAATACCTGTACTTTCTACTTCTTACATGTTGAACTCAAATACCTGTACTTTCTACTTCTTTACATGTTGAACTCAAATACCTGTACTTTCTACTTCTTACATGTTGAACTCAAATACCTGTACTTTCTACTTCTTACATGTTGAACTCAAATACCTGTACTTTCTACTTCTTACATGTTGAACCCAAATACCTGTACTTTCTACTTCTTACATGTGAACTCAAATACCTGTACTTTCTACTTCTTACATGTTGAACCCAAATACCTGTACTTTCTACTTCTTACATGTTGAACTCAAATACCTGTACTTTCTACTTCTTACATGTTGAACCCAAATACCTGTACTTTCTACTTCTTACATGTTGAACTCAAATACCTGTACTTTCTACTTCTCACTGTTGAAACTCAAATACCTGTACTTTCTACTTCTTACATGTTGAACACAAATACCTGTACTTTCTACTTCTACATGTTGAACCCAAATACCTGTACTTTCTACTTCTTACATGTTGAACTCAAATACCTGTACTTTCTACTTCTCACATGTTGAACCTCAAATACCTGTACTTTCTACTTCTTACATGTTGAACCCAAATACCTGTACTTTCTACTTCTTACATGTTGAACTCAAATACCTGTACTTTCTACTTCTTACATGTTGAACCCAAATACCTGTACTTTTCTACTTCTTACATGTTGAACTCAAATACCTGTACTTTCTACTTCTCACATGTTGAACCCAAATACCTGTACTTTCTACTTCTTACATGTTGAACCCAAATACCTGTACTTTTCTACTTCTTACATGTTGAACACAAATACCTGTACTTTCTACTTCTTACATGTTGAACTCAAATACCTGTACTTTCTACTTCTCACATGTTGAACTCAAATACCTGTACTTCTACTTCTCACATGTTGAACTCAAATACCTGTACTTTCTACTTCTTACATGTTGAACTCAAATACCTGTACTTTCTACTTCTTACATGTTGAACTCAAATACCTGTACTTTCTACTTCTCACATGTTGAACTCAAATACCTGTACTTTCTACTTCTTACATGTTGAACTCAAATACCTGTACTTTCTACTTCTTACATGTTGAACTCAAATACCTTGTACTTTCTACTTCTCTCATTTCCAAACAGCTGGTTCCTTTAGTCCTGAATGTGTGTTTGATGCGTGATCATTATTATTTAGAGTCATTGCGTGCCTATTGATTTGAACACGATCCGTGTATCCATCATTTCCTGCTCTTCTCTAAAGAAGAGGGACCAATGGAAACGTTGTCATGTTGCCGTTGTTCAGCATGGAAACATTCATTAGCTAACAATGACATTATTGTTCTATTAATATAAAGGGAGGTCAGGTACTCTTTAAAGCAGCTGCTAGTTATGGGTACTTTCTACTGAAGTACATTTCAAAGCCTCTTTACTTTGACTTGAGTAAAGAAGTTTAGTCAGTACTTCTACTTTCACCAGAGTATTTTTAAACACGAGTATCTGTACTTCTACTTGAGTACAGGATGTGTGTACTTTTACCATCTCTGGTTTTTCTTGATAAAATGTATTTATTTGGTCTGATTTGAGCATTTATGGGCTACTCATTTATGCAGTTATCACCTGTATCTGATTGACTACGCCAAATTGGTGAAGTATGCCATGTTGCTTTTTCTGTAAATGCATTATGGGTAATTAAGATGATGACTCTGTATTTGTCAGACGACTGAGGAAGAGCCTGGTGCTCAAAATGTTAAAGAGAAGCTTTAAAATCCTAAAATGTTGAGCTTTCTTGACGTTGTAAAATTCAGTTTCTCTTAATACTCACAACATTGGCCAAAATAAAACAGTTCTTTATGTATTCGTTCAGAGGAGCCGCTCAGTTAGAGTGTAATTTAATTATTGATTCGTGCACGTCCCTTCTACTAATATGGGATATTCAGCATGTCGCCTTCGATCAGATCTTCCTCCTTCTCACGCTGATGTAAACATTTAGAACATTTGGTCAACTAGGAAGATGATTGACATCGTGAGGACAACAGAGTCTTTTACTTTGAAAAATAAATATTTTAAACGTCGAGAGATGATGCCACCTGAACACAGAACGATATCTCTAACATCACTCTGAGGGTTATTCACATGTTGGAGACGAGCATGAGGTTCAGAAACAAACAAAAACGATGCTTTTAAACTCATTTTTAAAGTTCCTGTTGCTCTACTTAAACTTAATTCTGCTTTTACTTCAGTGTCAAATATACAACTGAACCATTTTGATTGGTGTTATTACCTTTGGGGACAAACAGGAGGACTTGAGAGTCACATTTCCAGAGTTTTGTCCGCCTGCGATTAGACGCTGAGAAAGGAGATAACAGTGAGTTCACCAGAGGAAAAGCAGTGGAGATAAGGACCGTTACACAGTGAGAACAAATGGTGAAAGTGCTCCGTAGAGCTGAGGTAAACTGGGGAATCATTACCTGTACATTTCCCGTATTATATTATATATTATAAAAATATTTAATATATCTATTCAGAGTCCCCAACCTTTTTAAAGTGCAATTTCTAGATGCATTTCAGAGAGTCTTTGTCTCTCTTTGATTGGACGTTAAGGGCATCTAAAGACTGTTTTCGTTATCCATTGAATCTGCAGACATTTTTCTATTTAAATCCATTTATTATTAGATTCCTGAATTGCCCAACGAGGATATATATTGCAAATCTCATTTTAAAATAGTTTCTCCAACTCCAAGGTCTTTAAATATCTTGTTTTTTAGTGAAATATCTGAAGATAGTCCCTTTTTTATGATATAAAGCAGAGCAAAGCAGGTAATCTCTGTATTTGAGAGGCAGAAAACTGTCATTTTTTAACAGATGCCAATCGTCTCTCCTGACTGGCGTCTTGTTGCAGTAAAACGCTCCTGCACTGCTATATATATATATATATATTTAAGTCCCTCTAAGGTCCTGATACATCCTCATGTCGTGCACATCTCCTGAACACGTGAATAAACCTGAGAGACCCCCCCCCGACAGAAACCCTGGTACTTCCTGTTCCCTCTGCAGAGTTGGCAGTAGAGATGTTCGAGGCACTAAGAGGAAACCTTCTTGTTCTGGAGGTAAATCTTTATATCGTTCTAAAAGAGGGGCTGCAGCCAAACCTCTGGGGAAGTGCCGTCCTCACATCTATCTCAGTGCAGGAATGAGTCCTCATACCCGGGAATGAGGCAGAATTGTATCACTCCCTGGTTCCTCCTCTGAGAGTCAATGGTGTTCTGAATGTGATTTTGGTTGTTAGCCTGAAATAAGGACTTTGGTGGTTTGATTCCACGACGTAAAACACATCAGTAAATACCCCACTGGTAGATTTAAACACGTTGGTTGCTAAATGAGACGACTAAACGTCAACACGCCTAATATTAGCCGCCTTTAGCTTAGCGGTGGTGACATGAAGTCATGTGACCGTGCTGTAGTTCCTTTATAGCCCAACATTAGCCGCCTTTAGCTTAGCGGTGGTGACGTGAAGTCATGTGACCGTGCTGTAGTTTCTTTATAGCCCAACATTAGCCGCCTTTAGCTTAGCGGTGGTGACGTGAAGTCATGTGACCGTGCTGTAGTTCATTTATAGCCCAACATTAGCCACCTTTAGCTTAGCGGTGGTGACGTGAAGTCATGTGACCGTGCTGTAGTTCATTTATAGCCCAACGTTAGCCTCTTTTAGCTTAGCGGTGGTGACGTGAAGTCATGTGACCGTGCTGTAGTTCCTTTATAGCCCAACATTAGCCGCCTTTAGCTTAGCGGTGGTGACGTGAAGTCATGTGACCGTGCTGTAGTTTCTTTATAGCCCAACATTAGCCGCCTTTAGCTTAGCGGTGGTGACGTGAAGTCATGTGACCGTGCTGTAGTTAATTTATAGCCCAACATTAGCCACCTTTAGCTTAGAGGTGGTGACGTGAAGTCATGTGACCGTGCTGTAGTTAATTTATAGCCCAACATTAGCCACCTTTAGCTTAGCGGTGGTGACGTGAAGTCATGTGACCGTGCTGTGGTTCCTTTATAGCCTTAAGTTAGCTTTTTACTTTATAAATCATAAAGGGGTGTTAATATATGGAGATTATCCTGCTGAATTTAACGTGTTAGTATCATAAACGTTGAGATTATTATCTGAAACAATCCAAAATCACATGGAGAAATCCCATTGGACCAGGGAGATGCTGCCTTCAGGGTCTGACTTCAAACCTGCACCTCTCTATGTTAATGACACAGATAAAGTGCAAAATGACCCCCTTTTTTCCCCCCTATAAAACCTCAGTGTGCCGCTGCCTGTCTTTGGCTGTTTTTACCCCCTGTGATGTCACTTCCTGCCTCTCCTCGTCGTCTTTTATGTCCTCCCCCTCAGCTCTTTTTGAAAAAAGAGAAAAGTCTCCTGTCACGGTCGGAGAAGCGATGGGCGCGCCTTGATGACGAGGCGCCGGGGGGGGGGCCCCGACACCGAGGGGGGGGGGGCGCCACTCGTCCTGATACTTGTCCATCAGCTGCTGGTCGATCACTCGGTGCATATCGTCCTGGAGACGGGACAAAACAGTGAGTAAGATGGAAGAGGAAGGAGAAAATGGCCCACGGAGAGGAGGGAATGAAGGGGGGGGGGCATTGATCAAGATACCTGTTTTAGAGACACTAGAATCACATTTTACGCTTTTGTTTTTAATATTAGTTTTTGTGTTAATATCTGTTTTTGTTTTTTATATTTTACGTGCATGCTTCCCATTGATATTCTTGCATGTTTGTGAATTTGAGGAGATAAAAATCACGGCCTTGAAAGTTTTGGGAATAGAGAATAAGTGCCACGGGTCATCAAAAGTGCTTTAGTTTTAATAGCGCCTCCGGTAAATTGAAAAATACATTTGGTCTGTAAAGTACTGAACATGTTTCCAACAAATTCCAGATTAAAAAACTGTTGATGAGAGAATTCACAAAAAAAGCAAAAAAAATGCAGAGGTTTCAGACCTCAAATGATGCAAAGACATCCAGTTCTCTTTCACTTTCAAACACCAGAATACTTAAATACTATAAGCCCCTATTGGAGCATGTTTAGATATACATAATACTATATATTTATACATAACTTTGAATGGGAAAAATAGACATGAAGAAAAAAAGTGTAAAAAGTGCTTTAATTTAGATATTTTGTGCGAAAGAACACAAAAACGTTGTCCTTTTTACTTTCATTAAACTTTAAATAAGATTGTTTTTTGTTCCACCTGCCTCCAGAAAGATCCCGCATGAGTTATTGCGTTTAATTATTTATTTGAACAAGGACATTAATAAGGATTGTTGAAGATGTGCAGGAAGTCCTTATGAATCTGTGAAAAGCAGAAAATCATAAAAAATCTCTCTGTTTTGGGAACTTGAATTTCAGTGTACAGGATGGGTTCAGTGTAAATACAAATTATATAATAAGCTGAAGTTAAAAAGTGGATAGTGTAAAACCCGTAAAAACAAAGTGGTCTCTGCCGCCTGATACCATTTTCATATTTCTGGAGTAATTATACAGTTTTTGACGAACATAAATATAGTTTTCTGGCATCACTTTCACATTTTACGGGGAAAATCTGCATTTTGGTTTGAGGGCGTAGAGACCCTGTTACCTGGTTTAGAATAGTGTGGTTTAGTGTCCCTAATGCTTTCTAATAAGCCCCACATTTTAACATTTTGTCTTTAAAATGACACAAAAGCTTAGTCAAAAACATATAATCCAACACCAATCACCAATATTGATCCAGTGGTTAACATTCTGTGGAAAAATACTGATTTCACGTCTGGAAATGACAGCTATCTTGGAAAATGGTTAACATTTATTCAAGGTAATTGGAGATAAAGGGTCCTGGAATTAAATGTTTAAAATATGTGGGCACCCTGTGTAACTTGTCAATAAATGCAATTTAAAAAACATATATTAATTTGAGTTTTAGCCACCAGGGGGCTCTGACAAGCTGATAAATCAACATGAGTGATGGGAGACTAAACAGTCATTAGTATAGGAAAACACACTTATCATTCGTAAATGTTAAACTGTAGTATTAATCAAACTTAGCAGCTCAAAGGGGTGTTATATGTTAGTATATGAGATTGGTTACAGGTAAACGGATGGAGGATACAGGTGTATGAGAGAGAGAGATGGGGGGAGGGGGAGAGAGGCAGGTGGAGAGAGAGAGAGGGGGGAGGTTGATGTTTCTCTGTGATAGTCTAAAGGAATACTTCACCAACAAAAAGACCATTTGTTTATTAATAACTCATCCTGTGTTACCTCAAATTATTGACTTGCATTGACTTCAAGACTGTTCTACTTGTTTCGGTTCTACGTTACTGAGGAGACATGAGAAAGAAAGGTTTTTAAAGAATATGACCATTTTAGAGATCAGGGTTTTCTGATGATTTCTGAAAATAATGTAAATTTGAGAATTTAGGTAGTTTTTGAAGAGAATGTATTTTTTATTTTCTAATTATTTTTTAAAGGGGGGTGGGGTCATTTTCTGAGAATGAAGTAATATAGGTAAATTATCTTTTTTTATATATAGTTTTTGGAAAGTCTGGATTTCAATTGAAAACATTAAATAAGTATTTTTTTTTAAAGAATTTCACAATTTTGGAAAATTAAGTATTTTTGGGAAATAGTGTTTTTTTAAGTGTTGACTTTTTTTGGAAAAATAAAGTAAAATTGTCACATTATTTAAAACATATTATAAAACGTGTCTTTTTTATAATATATGTTTTGTACATATCTTCAAAAAAACAGGTAACACAGGGAGAGTAATTGATCTATAGATGGTGATTTAGCGCTATGAATATTCCTGTAATATCCCCACAGAGAGAAGCTGGATGAGCGTCAGGTCACTGTGGCGTGGAATGGCTCGGCATGGTTTATAGTAGGTTTAATGTGGGTTTAATGGGCGGGTGATACGGCGAGAGGGCTCACCTCTAAGGCAGGAGGGGGGGTAGGTACCACAGGGGGGGGGTGGGGGTGGTACGGAAGCTGAGAAAAGGCCACTAGATCAGAAACCACAAGAGCCAAACAGTAAAGAGCCCTGAGGAGGCAAACTGTGGGGGGGGCAGAGAGAGGAGAGAGCTGCTAGTTACAGAGGAGGGGGGGAACACACACACACACACACACACACACACACACACACACACACACACACACACACACACACACACACACTGTCCTACTGTACATATCAAGAACGAAAATTCAAATCCTAAACATAACTTTGGTTTTTACAATTATTTTTTGCAAACCTATTTTCTTTTTACTTGAATCCAATAACTAAGGTATCCTACTTGTAGAATGCCGAAATGATGAAAGGAAAAGGACACTCCTGACACAAACACACACACACACAGTCCTACATAGGGACACACATCAAGGACGAGCATCAGAGGAGGAGGAAATATTCAGATCCAACATTTTACTTAGTTTTTTACTATTTGTGTTTGCAAACCAATTTTTTTAAATTTAAAGTTAATCCAATAGGCTAACTATAGCATCATATCCTACTTTTAGAAAAGGAAACGACTAAAGGAAAAGGTCACTGATGGTGAATAGGGCAGCATGAGGGAAGCTAATGCTAACGTGATTAGCTTCAGTGAACAGGTGTGTGAGCTGCGACCCACCTGCCAGGCCTCCAGCTGCTGAGACAGGTTGAGTTTCTGCTGGATGGCGTCCAGCAGCTGACTATTCAGAGACATGATGTCGATCCTACACTTCGCCAGCTCCATCTCCACCGCCTTCTTCCTGCAGCACACATATAAATCTCCATATATTAACACCACTTTATGATTTTTGAAGTAAAAAGCTAAAGACGGCTAATGTTGGGCTATAAAGGAACTACAGCACGGTCACATGACTTCACGTCACCACCGCTAAGCTAAAGGTGGCTAATGTTGGGCTATAAAGGAACTACAGCACGGTCACATGACTTCACGTCACCACCGCTAAGCTAAAGGTGGCTAATGTTGGGCTATAAAGGAACTACAGCACGGTCACATGACTTCACGTCACCACCGCTAAGCTAAAGGTGGCTAATGTTGGGCTATAAAGGAACTACAGCACGGTCACATGACTTCACGTCACCACCGCTAAGCTAAAGGTGGCTAATGTTGGGCAATAAAGGAACTACAGCACGGTCACATGACTTCACGTCACCACCGCTAAGCTAAAGGCGACTAATGTTGGGCTATAAAGGAACTACAGCATGGTCACATGACTTCACGTCACCACCGCTAAGCTAAAGGTGGCTAATGTTGGGCTATAAAGGAACTACAGCACGGTCACATGACTCCACGTCACCACCGCTAAGCTAAAGGCGACTAATGTTGGGCTATAAAGGAACTACAGCACGGTCACATGACTCCACGTCACCACCGCTAAGCTAAAGGCGACTAATGTTGGGCTATAAAGGAACTACAGCACGGTCACATGACTCCACGTCACCACCGCTAAGCTAAAGGCGACTAATGTTGGGCTATAAAGGAACTACAGCACGGTCACATGACTCCACGTCACCACCGCTAAGCTAAAGGTGGCTAATGTTGGGCTATAAAGGAACTACAGCACGGTCACATGACTCCACGTCACCACCGCTAAGCTAAAGGCGGCTAATGTTGGGCTATAAAGGAACTACAGCACGGTCACATGACTTCACGTCACCACCGCTAAGCTAAAGGTGGCTAATGTTGGGCGTGATGACGGTTAGCGATCTCATTTAAACACTTGTTAGCAACCAGCGTTTTTAAATTAAACTTTTTAGCTACAATGTTAGAACAATTACCAAACTATGAATACTATAAACACAGTTGTGTTGAATGGAATTATCTGTTAAACATTATTTTGATTAAGTTTATTTATTTGAGTGTTAGCATGTAGCTCGTACTTGGCGATGGCGTCGTCCCGGTCTCTGATGGCCGTCTGCAGCTGTTCGCTCGGTTCTCGGACTTCAGACATTGTCCTGATCCGATCGTTGTCTTCTCGTAAAGAGAGCATCTCTACGGAGAGCAGCGCCACCTGCAGGACAGACGGGGGATACAGTGGAGGAAATAAGTATTTGATCCCTTGCTGAGTTCGTCAGTTCACCCACTTACAAATAAATTAACTGACTATAATTGTATTGGTAGGTTTATTTTAACAGTGAGAGTAAGGATATCAAAAAGAAAATCCAGAAATTGACATTATATACAAAGATAAAAATTGATTTAACTGTGGGAAATAAGTAGCAGAGTAAAGTACTGATACCAGAAAGATGTACTTAAGTACAGTAATGAAGTATTTGTACTCCACTACTTCCCACCTCTGATTATTTGACAGATATTTGCATGTTATTGCTCAGCAGATACCTGGTTGTGCAGCTGCAGCACCTCCTCCTGGTTGCTGTGTGTTTTGTGTTGCTCCTCCTCGTACAGATCTCTCACCTCCCTCAGCTCCTCACCTAGCCTCCTCACCTCCTCCACTGCTTCCTCGTCGCTGCGCCGCGACCCCTGCATCCAACACACACACACACACACACACACACACACACACACACACACACACACATTTATATAGCGCCTTTCAGTGCTTTACAGAGTATGACAAATAAATGACACCTGAACATCAGCAGGAGAGGACTCTTTAAAGTAGAGACACTACATACTGATATACACCTGAACATCAGCAGGAGAGGACTCTTTAAAGTAGAGACACTACATACTGATATACACCTGAACATCAGCAGGAGAGGACTCTTTAAAGTAGAGACACTACATACTGATATACACCTGAACATCAACAGGAGAGGACTCTTTAAAGTAGAGACACTACATACTGATATACACCTGAACATCAGCAGGAGAGGACTCTTTAAAGTAGAGAAACTATACTGATATACACCTGAACATCAGCAGGAGAGGACTCTTTAAAGTAGAGACACTACATACTGATATACACCTGAACATCAGCAGGAGAGGACTCTTTAAAGTAGAGACACTACATACTGATATACACCTGAACATCAGCAGGAGAGGACTCTTTAAAGTAGAGACACTACATATTGATATACACCTGAACATCAGCAGGAGAGGACTCTTTAAAGTAGAGACACTACATACTGATATACACCTGAACATCAGCAGGAGAGGACTCTTTAAAGTAGAGACACTACATACTGATATACACCTGAACATCAGCAGGAGAGGACTCTTTAAAGTAGAGACACTACATACTGATATACACCTGAACATCAGCAGGATAGGACTCTTTAAAGTAGAGACACTACATACTGATATACACCTGAACATCAGCAGGAGAGGACTCTTTAAAGTAGAGACACTACATACTGATATACACCTGAACATCAGCAGGAAGAGGACTCTTTAAAGTAGAGACACTACATACTGATATACACCTGAACATCAGCAGGAGAGGACTCTTTAAAGTAGAGACACTACATACTGATATACACCTGAACATCAGCAGGAGAGGACTCTTTAAAGTAGAGACACTACATACTGATATACACCTGAACATCAGCAGGAGAGGACTCTTTAAAGTAGAGACACTACATACTGATATACACCTGAACATCAGCAGGAGAGGACTCTTTAAAGTAGAGACACTACATACTGATATACACCTGAACATCAGCAGGAGAGGACTCTTTAAAGTAGAGACACTACATACTGATATACACCTATTTTTGACAGTTTCTGAGTATTTTCATGTTTCTCTGTTCCTTACCGTGGACTCGTTTCCGTCCAGCAGGTTCTGGGTGAGTCTCCGGAGCTCCAGCAGTCCGGTGTGGAGACTTCCCGTGGGAACGTCTTTGGCTGAGGACGTCTCCGAGGACTCGTCCATGGAGGAGTCGGTGGAGAGCGCCGAGTCGGTGAGGTCGTTCCCCCGCAGGTGAGAGCAGAGCGAGCGCACCTCAGAGTACGCCTCCCACAGCTGGAGGCGCAGCTGCACACAGGAAACCAGTTAGTTAGTTAAAGGTCTCTTATTATACGATTTTTAGGCATATATTATAGGTCTCAGATATATACAGAGCCTGTCTCTGATTGGCTGGAACACCAAACAGATCATTGCAGCATTACCCATAATCCCCTCTGTTTCAGCCCTGTTTCCAAAGTGCTGATTCTCTGTCTGTTACTTTAGATGAAAATAAGGAGCCCCTCCCCACGCCCCTCTGAGAGACATTTGGTTACAGAGAACTCAATGGTGCTCTAGGAGGAGATTCAGGTGATAAGGTGGGGGGGGGGGGTTACCTTGGTTGCTGATTGGCTAATGGTTACTCAAGACAAAACATCGTTATGACATCATAAAGTGGCCAAAATCTGATTAGCTCATTTTCAGACAGGTTTTTATAGAAATGGATAAAAAAGAGAGAGAATCTTTGTTCCTGGAACTTTCAGAGTCTCTTTCCACAGAGGGGACACATGTTGATGTAGAAGAGACATGAAGAAGAGGGGACACATGTTGATGTAGAAGAGACATGAAGAAGAGGGGACACATGTTGATGTAGAAGAGACATGAAGAAGAGGGGACACATGTTGATGTAGAAGAGACATGAAGAAGAGGGGACACATGTTGATGTAGAAGAGACATGGAGAAGAGGGGACACATGTTGACGTAGAAGAGACATGAAGAAGAGGGGACACATGTTGATGTAGAAGAGACATGGAGAAGAGGGGACACATGTTGATGAGAAGAGACATGAAGAAGAGGGGACACATGTTGATGTAGAAGAGACATGAAGAAGAGGGGACACATGTTGATGTAGAAGAGACATGAAGAAGAGGGGACACATGTTGATGTAGAAGAGACATGGAGAAGAGGGGACACGTGTTGATGTAGAAGAGACATGAAGAAGAGGGGACACATGTTGATGTAGAAGAGACATGAAGAAGAGGGGACACATGTTGATGTAGAAGAGACATGAAGAAGAGGGGACACATGTGATGTAGAAGAGACATGAAGAAGAGGGGACACATGTTGATGTAGAAGAGACAGGAAGAAGAGGGGACACATGTTGATGTAGAAGAGACATGAAGAAGAGGGGACACATGTTGATGTAGAAGAGACATGAAGAAGAGGGGACACATGTTGATGTAGAAGAGACATGAAGAAGAGGGGACACATGTTGATGTAGAAGAGACATGGAGAAGAGGAGACACATGTTGATGTAGAAGAGACATGAAGAAGAGGGGACACGTGTTGATGTAGAAAGAGACATGAAGAAGAGGGGACACGTGTTGATGTAGAAGAGACATGAAGAAGAGGGGACACATGTTGATGTAGAAGAGACATGAAGAAGAGGGGACACATGTTGATGTAGAAGAGAAATGTAGAAGAGGGGACACATGTTGATGTAGAAGAGACATGAAGAAGAGGGGACCACATGTTGATGTAGAAGAGACATGAGGAAGAGAGGACACATGTTGATGTAGAAGAGACATGAAGAAGAGGGGACACATGTTGATGTAGAAGAAACATGAAGAAGAGGGGACACATGTTGATGTAGAAGAGACATGAAGAAGAGGGGACACATGTTGATGTAGAAGAGACATGAAAAGAGGGGACACATGTTGATGTAGAAGAGACATGAAAGAAGAGGGGGACACATGTTGATGTAGAAGAGACATGAAGAAGAGGGGACACATGTTGATGTAGAAGAGACATGAAGAAGAGGGGACACATGTTGATGTAAGAAGAGACATGGAGAAGAGGGGACACATGTTGATGTAGAAGAGACATGAGGAAGAGGGGACACATGTTGATGTAGAAGAGACATGAAGAAGAGGGGACACATGTTGATGTAGAAGAGACATGAAGAAGAGGGGACACATGTTGATGTAGAAGAGACATGAAGAAGAGGGGACACATGTTGATGTGGAAGAGACATGAAGAAGAGGGGACACATGTTGATGTAGAAGAGACATGAAGAAGAGGGGACACATGTTGATGTAGAAGAGACATGAAGAAGAGGGGACACATGTTGATGTAGAAGAAACATGAAGAAGAAGGGGACACATGTTGATGTAGAAGAGACATGAAGAAGAGGGGACACATGTTGATGTAGAAGAGACATGAAGAAGAGGGGACACATGTTGATGTAGAAGAGAAATGTAGAAGAGGGGACACATGTTGATGTAGAAGAGACATGAAGAAGAGGGGACACATGTTGATGTAGAAGAGACATGAGGAAGAGAGGACACTGTTGATGTAGAAGAGACATGAAGAAGAGGGGACACGTGTTGATGTAGAAGAGACATGAAGGAGAGGGGACACATGTTGATGTAGAAGAGACATGAAGAAGAGGGGACACATGTTGATTGTAGAAGAGAAATGTAGAAGAGGGGACACATGTTGATGTAGAAGAGACATGAAGAAGAGGGGACACATGTTGATGTAGAAGAGACATGAGGAAGAGAGGACACATGTTGATGTAGAAGAGACATGAAGAAGAGGGGACACATGTTGATGTAGAAGAGACATGAAGAAGAGGGGACACATGTTGACGTAGAAGAGACATGAAGAAGAGGGGACACATGTTGATGTAGAAGAGACATGAAGAAGAGGGGACACATGTTGATGTAGAAGAGACATGAAGAAGAGGGGACACATGTTGATGTAGAAGAGACATGAAGAAGAGGGGACACATGTTGATGTAGAAGAGACATGGAGAAGAGGGGACACATGTTGATGTAGAAGAGACATGAGGAAGAGGGGACACATGTTGATGTAGAAGAGACATGAAGAAGAGGGGACACATGTTGATGTAGAAGAGACATGAAGAAGAGGGGACACATGTTGATGTAGAAGAGACATGAAGAAGAGGGGACACATGTTGATGTGGAAGAGACATGAAGAAGAGGGGACACATGTTGATGTAGAAGAGACATGAAGAAGAGGGGACACATGTTGATGTAGAAGAGACATGAAGAAGAGGGGACACATGTTGATGTAGAAGAAACATGAAGAAGAGGGGACACATGTTGATGTAGAAGAGACATGAAGAAGAGGGGACACATGTTGATGTAGAAGAGACATGAAGAAGAGGGGACACATGTTGATGTAGAAGAAACATGAAGAAGAGGGGACACATGTTGATGTAGAAGAGACATGAAGAAGAGGGGACACATGTTGATGTAGAAGAGACATGAAGAAGAGGGGACACATGTTGATGTAGAAGAGAAATGTAGAAGAGGGGACACATGTTGATGTAGAAGAGACATGAAGAAGAGGGGACACATGTTGATGTAGAAGAGACATGAGGAAGAGAGGACACATGTTGATGTAGAAGAGACATGAAGAAGAGGGGACACGTGTTGATGTAGAAGAGACATGAAGAAGAGGGGACACATGTTGATGTAGAAGAGACATGAAGAAGAGGGGACACATGTTGATGTAGAAGAGACATGAGGAAGAGAGGACACATGTTGATGTAGAAGAGACATGAAGAAGAGGGGACACATGTTGATGTAGAAGAGACATGAAGAAGAGGGGACACATGTTGACGTAGAAGAGACATGAAGAAGAGGGGACACATGTTGATGTAGAAGAGACATGAAGAAGAGGGGACACATGTTGATGTAGAAGAGACATGAAGAAGAGGGGACACATGTTGATGTAGAAGAGACATGAAGAAGAGGGGACACATGTTGATGTAGAAGAGACATGGAGAAGAGGGGACACATGTTGATGTAGAAGAGACATGAGGAAGAGGGGACACATGTTGATGTAGAAGAGACATGAAGAAGAGGGGACACATGTTGATGTAGAAGAGACATGAAGAAGAGGGGACACATGTTGATGTAGAAGAGACATGAAGAAGAGGGGACACATGTTGATGTGGAAGAGACATGAAGAAGAGGGGACACATGTTGATGTAGAAGAGACATGAAGAAGAGGGGGACACATGTTGATGTAGAAGAGACATGAAGAAGAGGGGACACATGTTGATGTAGAAGAAACATGAAGAAGAGGGGACACATGTTGATGTAGAAGAGACATGAAGAAGAGGGGACACATGTTGATGTAGAAGAGACATGAAGAAGAGGGGACACATGTTGATGTAGAAGAGACATGAAGAAGAGGGGACACATGTTGATGTAGAAGAGACATGAAGAAGAGGGGACACATGTTGATGTAGAAGAGACATGAAGAAGAGGGGACACATGTTGATGTAGAAGAGACATGAAGAAGAGAGGACACATGTTGATGTAGAAGAGACATGAAGAAGTGAATTTTGCCTAATAGGTGACCTTTAACTTTGATCAGTTTTTACCAAATGTCTATCCAGCCTGTGTTCACCTTATTATGATGATTTGTTTACAGTATGTATTGGTGTTTTGTAGCGTTCACCTGCTCCCTCTCCTGCTCCTGCTCCTCCTGCTCCATGCTCTGCTCGATCTCACACAGCAGGCTGGAGGAGGGGGGCAGCAGGCTCTGCTCCTCCGTCAGCTGCTGCAGCCGGACGCTCAGCTGCCGGTGAGACAGCTGGGCCTCCTGCAGCTCTGCGTGGCTCTGACGCAGCTAAACACAATGAAAACAGCCAATAAGAACACAGGATCATACGAAACGAGGCACCTGTTGCACACAAACATATTTTCATAAAATATAATTAAAGCCAATATTGCAATAAAATGTCCTGACTGAGATCCTCAAAACAAGTTGTGTTACGGCCCGTCCACACTGCAGCTTCAAAAAAAGCTTGGAGCTCGGCTTGTCTGAAGCTCGACCAACAACCAATCACATGAAGCTCCCGCCCCTGACACACAAGCAGCGGTTTGATTGGCTAGAGCTTGTACTGGCATGTGATTTGATTGGCTGACGCTTCCACCGAAAGCTTCAGAAGCTTCAAAAGTTGAACATTGCTCAACTTCTGCAGCCTGAAACGCCAGGAAAGCTCCGCTCTGCTTCCCACAATGCAGTTCGGCGAAAAGTGACGTCACCCCATTCAAAGTGAATGGGCAGACGCCTCAGTCTACGCCTCTCAGACACCCCACACACACACACACACACACACACACACACACACACACACACACACACACACACACACACACACACACACACACACACACACACACACACACACACACACACACACACACACACACACACACACTCAGTCCAAACCAATGTGGAACACCTCAGCTTTTGTCCCTTAAGTATATTTTCATCTGTCTTTTTTTTGGTACATTTCTTTCGCCTGTTTACTTTTGTTCTACTTCTCATTGAATTATTTTATTTTATTATAATTCGTTATGTATTTTTCCTTTTGTATTGAGATTTGTATATCTTTTTTTGTAGCTCAGTCTGTAGGGACTAGACTTGGGAAACCTACAGAGTGTGGCTGGAGAGGTGCCAGTCCTTCTTCTTATAATTGAATGTATTTGTGTCTATTGTTATTATTGTCTGTTCCGGTGCATGTCAAATGTAATTTCCCCTGAAAATAAAACATGTCTTGGTCTCAATAGTGTACCTGCAGGTCCTTGACCCCCCAACTACCCCCCACCTATAGATCCTGTTAGTGTGTGTGTAATGAATGTGTGGCTTGTGTGTGTTATTTGCAGATTAAAAATGTAATTACGCCTGAAACTAAAGCATGTTTTGGTCTCAACAGATAGACTACCTCCCACCATGGCTATAGATCCTGTTGTTAGTGTGTGTGTAATTCATGTCTAGCCCGTCTTTAAAAATGTGATTCCCTCTGAAAGAGGATCCCACTGTCCTGAGGAGTGTGTGTTAGCACAAAGCTTCACATCAGCTGACTCACAACATGCAACGGCCTTCAACTCAAGGCTAGCACCACAACACACTCATAGCTCTTGTTAGTGTGTGTGATTTAATGCAAATATCACCAGAGTAAAAACCTAACTTCCCCTGAAACTAAAGCACGCTTTGGTCTCATGGTGTACCTGCAGGTCCTTGTGGTGGCTGTGCCTCTCCAGCAGCATGGTCCTCTCCCTCAGCTCGTCCACGGAGCTCTGCAGCAGCTCGTTCTCCTCCAGCATGGCGTGCAGCCGCCGCTCCAGCTCCATCTTCCTCTCCGCCAGCATCTTAATCTGCACACACACATACACACACACACACACACACACACACACACACACACACACACACACACACACACACCAGCGCAGTGAGACCTATGAAGGGCGGTTCAATCCCTGGAGGACGGTGGGCGGAGGATCTGATTTAGGGCTGAATGTGAGAATGAGGAACGCTGGGCTCTTTCACAAGAATCACTCCCACTGTCCTGAGGAGTGTGTGTTAGCACAAAGCTGACTCACAACATGCAACGACCTTCAACTCAAGGCGAGCAACACAACACACTCAGAGAGGTTGTTTAAAAATAAAACAGTATCGGATGAAAAATGCATTTAAAAACTAGAAATGTGGAGTGATGTTAAAGCCTTAGTGTTGAACCTTTAATCAGTTCATTCAATCCATTTTCTTTTTTGTAGCATTTTGTGAAAAAGCATTTAAAAAAACGTTAAAACTGAGATTTTAAGTCAGTTTAATTAGTTTATTAATTTAATATGTTGTATATGTTTGTTTGTTTGTAGGCTTTATTTAACCAGGTGAAGCCCCTTGAGATCAAAAGATCTTTTTCAAGGGTGACCTGCAGGACGTTAGTTACACATGTAACATAACACAACAGAACAACAATAAGGATGACAAACAACATAATGTACAGGGTCCAGTTTACAAACTCTATTTACAGAGCCAGGTACCATGAGTATCAAACAGCATGTCACCCAGCTGAGTTTTCAAAGTGATGCAGGGGAACCAAAGTGCTCAGCTTTGAAACATGTTTGCAGACTGTTCCATGTTAGTGGAGCTGCTCAACTAAAAGCTTCCCTAAGACAGTCCTAGCACTTGGCACATTTAATAAAACATCATGAGATCTCAGGCAATACTTTCAATTCGTCGAGAGATCAATATGGATGTCATCCCCTGCATTTGTATTTACTTGTATTTATTGTCAACACTTTACTTTTGTTTCTTTGTTGTCATTTGAGGTCTTTTATTTATTTTATTTTATCTCTGCATCTAAAGTTTTCTTTTACATTACATTACCACTTGTTAGACGCTTTTAACCAATGCGACTTATTCAATACCGTGTCTACTATTGGGTTTTAGCAGATTTGTTATATTTGTTATTGAATATCTAATTGGATACATCTCAGTGTTAATAGTTGCATATCTTTTTGTCTATTTTTATTTATTATTTTGATCTCTGCATCTTTGTACGAAAGGTTCAATATAATAACGTTTTTTCCAAGTTGTGTTCAACAGGATGGTTTCAAATAAGCAGTTTGTGTTTTAGCAGCTGATTTATTAAAAAGATCTCCTGCAGCTGCCGGAGCCGCCTCAGATCTCCTTTCCTCCCCTGCTCTGACCCACATCCTGTAACCTACTTGCACCACGTGGAGCTCTGGTCCATTAATGAGAGCTCCTTCTCCTGGATGTCTGCTCGTCACAGAGCTGCAGTGTTTCTCTAGAGCGGAGCCTCTCCTCAGCGCGGCGCCGTCTGGGAGTTTCTGCACCGCGCTGAGGAGAGGCTCTGGAAATCTGCTCTGATGTTGTTGTTGTTGTTGTTGTGCTCTCTGACTGTGTTTGTTACTATCAGGCTGATATCATACGTGACACAGCAGTGATCACAACACAGCTACTACTGTAGATACAAGCATTATTTTTAAAACTGTCAAATCTTATGATTTAAATAATGTGTCATTTATTCTTATAATTTGATTATTAAATTATTATTATGATATTTTATTTTTATATTTATACAATTTTGTGATTATTAACAAAGGCTTAATAACGTGTAAACAATATTAAATGAGTGGAACGAGAACCTGATTAAATAAATACAAAGTTACATTTCATCTGAATTTAATTGTTATTAAAACATTACATTTAAAATGCTTAGGTTTTCAAGTTGTATCAAGTCAAAGGAGTTTGTATTTCATTCAGCATGTGATTCAATAATCTATTCTTTAAAATGATAGATTTGGACTATCTTCAACTCATTTAACAGAAGGGTACATTATATATATATATAATATATATATATATATATATGTTCTTTTACGAGACGTCACATGCTGCATGCAGACAGACAGGAAGTCACTCACTTCTAGCCCTTGCTGCTCCAACAGGGAGGAAGGAGGAAGGAGAGGAGGAAGGAGAGGAGGGGGAGATAAAGATATAAGGTGGGTTCAACTCACACAGAGAGAGAGAACACACAACTAAAGAATATTTTTGAGTTTCTTACATTTTCGTTTTGTGATATACACAGAGGTGTGAAGTAACTAAGTACTGTACTTAAGTACAATTTTGAGGTACTTGTACTTTACTTGAGTATTTCTATTTTTTGCTACTTTGTACTTTTACTATGTACAATTCGGTCCAATCTGCAGAATCACTACTTTCACTTTTGGTATTTTGATGATAATACTTTTCTACTTTTACTTGAGGAACATGTTGAATGCTTTTACTGTAACAGAGTATTCCTACACTCTGGTACTTTTACTCAAGTACAATATCTGAGTACTTCTACTTTTACTCAAGTACAAGATCTGAGTACTTCTACTTTTACTCAAGTACAAGATCTGAGTACTTCCACTTTTACTCAAGAACAAGATCTGAGTACTTCCACTTTTACTCAAGAACAAGATCTGAGTACTTCTACTTTTACTCAAGTACAAGATCTGAGTACTTCCACTTTTACTCAAGTACAAGATCTGAGTACTTCTACTTTTACTCAAGTACAAGATCTGAGTACTTCCACTTTTACTCAAGAACAAGATCTGAGTACTTCCACTTTTACTCAAGAACAAGATCTGAGTACTTCTACTTTTACTCAAGTACAAGATCTGAGTACTTCCACTTTTACTCAAGTACAAGATCTGAGTACTTCCACTTTTACTCAAGAACAAGATCTGAGTACTTCTACTTCTACTTTTACTCAAGTACAAGATCTGAGTACTTCCACTTTTACTCAAGAACAACATCTGAGTACTTCTACTTTTACTCAAGTACAAGATCTGAGTACTTCTACTTTTACTCAAGTACAAGATCTGAGTACTTCTACTTTTACTCAAGTACAAGATCTGAGTTCTTCTACTTATACTCAAGTACAAGACCTGAGTACTTCTACTTTTACTCAAGTACAAGATCTGAGTACTTCTACTTTTACTCAAGTACAAGATCTGAGTACTTCTACTTTTACTCAAGTACAAGATCTGAGTTCTACTTTTACTCAAGTACAAGATCTGAGTACTTCTACTTTTACTCTAGTACAAGACCTGAGTACTTCTACTTTTACTCAAGTACAAGATCTGAGTTCTTCTACTTATACTCAAGTACGAGACCTGAGTACTTCTACTTTTACTCAAGTACAAGATCTGAGTACTTCTACTTTTACTCAAGTACAAGATCTGAGTTCTACTTTTACTCAAGTACAAGATCTGAGTACTTCTACTTTTACTCAAGTACAAGACCTGAGTACTTCTACTTTTACTCAAGTACAAGATCTGAGTTCTTCTACTTATACTCAAGTACAAGACCTGAGTACTTCTACTTTTACTCAAGTACAAGATCTGAGTACTTCTACTTTTACTCAAGTACAAGATCTGAGTACTTCTACTTTTACTCAAGTACAAGATCTGAGTTCTACTTTTACTCAAGTACAAGATCTGAGTACTTCTACTTTTACTCTAGTACAAGACCTGAGTACTTCTACTTTTACTCAAGTACAAGATCTGAGTACTTCTACTTTTACTCAAGTACAAGATCTGAGTACTCAGCATTAGACACAGAGATACCTGTAAGAACAGCTGTGTGTGTGTGTGTGTGTGTGTGTGTGTGTGTGTGTGTGTGTGTGTGTGTGTGTGTGTGTGTGTGTGTGTGTGTGTGTGTGTGTGTGTGTGTGTGTGTGTGTGTGTGTAGCTGCTCACCTCCGCCTGTAGACTCTCCAGTCGGGTCGTGTGCTCGCTGCTGGACAGGCTCTGCTCCCTGAAGTCATCCCGTAAAGAGTTCACCTGAGTGGACAGCTGCCTCTCCACCTCTGCAGCCTGCAACACACACACACACACACACACACACACACACACACACACACACACACACACACACACACACACACACACACACACACACACACACACACACACAACACACACACACACACACACACACACACACACACAACACACACACACACACAGAGAGAGAGATATTGCATTAATGTTTGCCTTGATTGTCTCTGCTCTTAAAACTATTTTCAGGAAACAAGATTAGACGATACGGCACAGTGTAAAACATCTCAAGTGCTGTAGAGGTCTCGAGGTGCTGCGTATGAAAAAGCAGTTTGGGGGAATCCATCACAAGAAGAAAATAATACATATATCATTACATTACATGTCACGAACCAGTGCATTTACCCACTGAGCCACATCCTCCCATATATATATATATATATATATATATATATATATATATAATATATATATACACACACACACACACACACACACACACACACACACACACACACACACACACACACACACACACGAGGCAGTAGTGTGTGTTGCCCCCTAGAGGCTGCATATCACATTGATAATTAAAGTCTCTTCCAAGCATGACATTACTTTGTATTTAAAGCTTATTATAGGATGTATTCTTTAATGTTGCGAACAACGTGAAAGAGGTGTGTGTTCTTCAGTTAGATAATAAAACCAGGTTCGTAAAGCGTGGTGACGTCAGAGGTTACGCACGGATGTAAACAAAGCGAGAAAAGTTACAAACTGGAAACAAAACATGACGGCATGACAACCTGCAATCTACTAGAGAAAGATGGAGTTATTATATCAGGATTTGGTCTTTTGTTCATCATGTCACTTTGTATTGTCCGAGTTTCATTTTGTCCAGAGATGATAATGACATATTGATCCGGGAATATGCGGACAGCAGGAACAGCTGATCAGACACGTGAGTAAATACTTGATCCTGCACATTACATCAAGTCATTCAGAAAACACGCCTTAAACACGTGTATCATGAGTGTGATTTAGTTTATACAGAAGCATTGTAAATGTAAAATGCATGCATGCTCAGTGAGGCACAGCGTATACAGAAATGCATACACAGAAAGATCTGTGCAAATACATAGACAGCAGCAGGTGTCTACGTGGTCATTTACGTGAGAATATTTGTATTTATTTGTGCTTTAAACCCTCTTTTTAAGGCAGGCATTGCAGTTCTGCTGCTTTTCAACATAAAGCTGAGCTGTTTAATCATATTCTGCTGGTTCCGTACAGCTTTTGTAATGTATTATATTGATGTGGTCTATAACATACAACAGTACCAAAATGATGGTACACCGTACATGGCATGGATGAAGTTTAAAGAATATTGCGAGAAAACACCAAAATCCTTAAAATGCAGCTTGAAATGCAGCCTCTAGGGGCAACACACACTGCTGCCGTGTGTGTGTGTGTGTGTGTGTGTGTGTGTGTGTGTGTGTGTGTGTGTGTGTGTGTGTGTGTGTGTGTGTGTGTGTGTGTGTGTGTGTGTGTGTGTGTGTGTGTGTGTGTGTGTGTGTGTGTGTGAAGCAGCTGCAGTGTAGAGTAACACATCTGACCCCCTGGCACAGTATTGTGACAGATGTACATCCTGTGGTCTGGTGTGCAGATTCTCTCCTAATCTGAACATCAATCAGATCCAGGATCAGATTTATCATCATGACGGACCAACAGAGCAGCAGAGAGACACATCTTTACAGCAAGGAAACTCGATTTAATAAACCGCAGGGGAGAGGTACGCAACGTGACAGGATGCTATAGGACATTCAGAGTTTAGACCAAACACATCAGTGACCTTTTGAATTCACTCAAATCCAACAAAAATCTATTTTCTCCAAAGAAGCAACTGTAGATATGGCTACTGATAACGGTGATGGAGAGGTGTGTTACAACGTTACAAAACATTTCAATTTGGAGAAACGTGCTGCAGCTTCAGAAACAATGCAGATATAAAAACAGAAATGTTCCAAAACACATGAAGAAAAATGTTCAGCAACCTGACAACGCATGCAGCGTTTAGAGCAGAGGTTCTCAATTGTGTTTCAGGACCCCTTACAAGATAGAGAATACACCAAGGACCCCTTACAAGATAGAGAATACACCAAGGACCCCTTACAAGATAGAGAATACACCAAGGACCCCTTACAAGATAGAGAATACACCCAAGACCCCTTACAAGATAGAGAATACACCAAGGGACCCTCCCTTACCAGATCAGAAGGGAATACACCAAGGACCCCTTAACAAGATAGAGAATACACCAAGGACCCCTTACAAGATAGAGATATACCAGGACCCCCTTACAAGATAGAGAATACACCAAGGACCCCTACAAGATGAAAAGAAATACTACCAAGGACCCCTTACAAGATAGAGGAATACACCAAGGGACCCCTTACAAGGATAGAGAAATACACCAAGGACCTCCTTACCAAAGATAGAGAATACACCAAGGACCCCCTACAAGATAGAGAATACACCAAGGACCCCCTACAAGATAGAGAATACACCAAGGACCCCTACAAGATAGAGAATACACCAAGGACCCCTTACAAGATAGAGAATATACCAAGGACCCCTTACAAGATAGAGAATATACCAAGGACCCCCTCATTCTGATGTGTGATTTTGGGCTATATAAATAAAAATGGACTTGATTTGACCTGTATGTCCCTTGGAATAATCTGACGTAGCCTATTTTTTACACTTCTATAGTCTTAGTTATGTGAAAGAACAACACAAGAGAAATGTATTAGAAAGATATTAGATATTTATTAAAAATATTTTCACCATCTCAACACAGAATACCCATAAAACAATCAATCAATTAGCTGCAAGTAACACTGTACCTAAAGCAAATATCACAGGGAAATCAAGACACACACACACACACACACACACACACACACACACACACACACACACACACACACACACACACACACACACACACACACACTTTTCAGCTCCAGCTCCGGCTCGGAGCTGGAGCCTGAAAAGCGCCGGTTTTTCCTGTTCACACCGCAGCGGCGCCGGCTCTTAGCTCCGGAATCGGGTTCACTTCCAGCTCCAAAAAATTGTCGGTCTGGAGGCAAGAGCTTCGGAGCTAAGAGGTGGCGTCGCTTACGTCTCTCTTACGTCGAGGCGTGCAGGAAACTAAACCCTCCTCCCCTGAACATGGGTCGACTGTCATGCCTGCCTACAAGCAGTAGTGCTTATAAACACACTTTATAAAGTCAGGCAACACTAACCTGGCTTCGTGTGATTCTGTTTATTTGTACCTTACTTTGACCATCCGTTCACTGTTATTGATCATTGTGGAGAGAGGCAGACGTTTTGTATTATAGCAGCTATCAGATGGAATCAATACATGGGCTGCACAGGTTGTCGTGTCCGACTATCACAAGTAGAATCATAATAAAAATACGCCGGTAAAATGTGCCTGTAGAAAACGGTTTATGCCACAATAGGATAGCAATAGCTAGTGAAGATAATTAAATTAATATATTATAGCAGGAAGTTTAATACAGTGTAATTTTTGGTATATTCATTTTAATGTCCCTTGATATATAAGAAGTGTGTTTTTATATATTCATGTGTGTACTTAATTACTTTGTATTTAATAGTAGCAGTTTATATGGACAAGAAGCTGAAAGAGAGAAGTGAAAACTTCCCTGTCAGGAGAAGGAGACAGAGGAAATACCCTTATATAGACATATGCTATAGGCAGCAGAGTAGGGTGTGTGTGTGTGTTGCAGTAGCCATCTGGCTGTATCATAACTGCTCAATTATACTGATGCTTGTGTTTTTATTGATTTCTTTCTGTTTGATTCTTTCATGTTGTGAGTATTAAATTGCCACAACTTTGTGAGTAGTTGGCTTAAATGTGTTTACATTACTTATGTGAAATAAAGGAGCAGGTTGGCATGACAGGAGACTGGGGATGTGGGGAGAGGACACATTCTTATCTAAACGCAGAATGCCAAGTAGCTAGAACATACATGTCTAAAATATATGTGTGTGTTTAATTACTGTGTATCAATAATAATAGGGAGTTGGAAATATGAGTAAAACCATTATTTAAAGTAAAAGGTGAGCAGGGGAATGCCCTTATTTGAAGATAGCTCAGATCTCTGAAATGAGTGTGCGTTCTCTGTATATGTTCTGAAGGGTCGTGCAGGACACCCAATGTGTCTGTGTTACCTTAAATGGTAAAAGAAGGGAAATGAGTGAAACCTGCTGAAATACCAGATGTGTTGCTTCAGACTGAGACTGTTTTCGGGTCCTCTGCTGGCACGCGCTGATTCGCTGTGACACAGCATCTTTTGCATCTCCCAATGAGATGACCTGAAAAGATGACCAGCTGACCCAACCCCTCCTGTTTGTTTTCTGGCATGAAAGCCTGTTGAGTCCTGGTGTCCGCTCTCTTTCCTCCAGCTGCCAAGACGAGTAAGTAAGAGTCCCAGCGGAGGACAGGGCCGGAGTAATCCGGATTACTTCGTGATGATATTGTATTTGTATCTTTTACCATTAAATCAGCATATTTGTTATAACCTTACCGATGGTTGCTGTGAATTCTTCCTCTGTTAATCTGACCCATTCACAAAAGGACGCGCGGAGGCAGAGGGGGGCCTTAGAGCCCCCACCAAAGGATGACTCTGTCACAACAGTAGTCAGTTTAGCTTCGGTTGCTATGCTAACATCACCCATTTTATACCAGAGAAACTTTCATAACAGCGTTGCAGGGTCGGCGTCATGGGGGGTCATTCGCGGGCCATGCCCCCCCAAATGAGTCACTGTGCCCCCCCAACGCAGGGTGGGCAAGCCTTGTCACTTTGCCGATTTTTTCTTTTTTTTATCATATAGGCTAAGTGAAAACGTTTCCACTAAAGGTTTTTTGTGTGAAATACATCAGAAATAAATAATACAATTATAAAACACAGCCTGAGGTGTGCTCACTGCTGCTCTCTGATTGGTGTGTTGCTTGA